GAGGAATTTCCATCTTTGTACGGGAAAATGCGCGCGGCTACCCCTGAAAATGGCACGACGGGTGTGTTGTGCAGCTCAAAGTCTCAGAGCGAAACTTTGCTCGTCGAAAACCGACCGCACTATTACGCCTGGAATTTGCATCTCGCTCTGGGCTTTGCTCCAATGACGGACAACACGGGTGGAGAATATGTGATGGAGTGGTTCGTGGGCTTCACTAAAGATAAGCGTGACGAGAGCTGGTCAGGGCAAAGCTTTCAAAGTGTGGTTTCCTATGGCTACCAGAATTTGCCAAAATGATTTACTCCATTATATAAAAATTTTGAGATTCGGATTATAAAAAAAATTTGAGATGGATGTGCAAGACAAGTGTCATTGTCAAGCTTTGCTATTATTTAAGCCAAATTCAAAAGCCTTATCTTTGTGTAATAAATTATTCCATAATAAATAAATAAATATTATATTTTTATTTCACTTATTCTATACTTTCTATAACTTTTATTGATATAAATTGAAAATTTTGTTAATAACAAACAAAATTCAATTATAATTTTAATTTATTTATTTGCAAAATTAATTTCTTTTTCAACCAACTTTCTAAAATTATCATTTACAACATACTTCTAAGTACTTTGTAAAATAAATAAACAATTTGAAGAAAAAAAAACCAGAATTTTAATTCTGCTTTATTTTGTTTGAAATTCAATATAAATTTAAATCAGTTAATTTAACTGCAGTTTAAAAAAAAATAGCTAGATGATTACTATACAACAAAAAACAATAATTGTTTTATCCTATTAAAAAATTTAAAACATTGCCTTTTGGTCGATCTGCTCTAGCTTTATTTACTAAAGCCATAGTCTGCCTCTATTATGGTCACTTTCTCCTTTCGATATTTGGCAAAGCAATCCATCTGAAAGGGAAATCAATCGCAAAGTCGCGGCCGAAAACAGGTTTTCTTCCTGCGCGAAGAGGCGGAATCCTCTCAGCCGAATTGAGAGGGTTTTTTGTCAGGGGTGCATCTCGCCAATGCGATGTAATGTAAAGCGTCGTGCTTTCCCTCTCGGTACTGCACTGCTCTCTGTGCAGAGCGAGAGAGAGCAAGGGGGATGGATAAATATGGTGGTGCGCGCGGTGGGTGCTTGCGCTCGCCTACCCTACTCTATTGATTATTGTTGGCCCTCGCGCAATAAAAGACTCTCCGTTCGCAGCCGAAGGTTGGCAGCTGCAGCCGCGAGAGATGCACCCATCGAGCCGAACGGTAATTTACGCGATTTAGATGCACTCGCAGCACACCCGGGTGCGCAACACGGCTCCTTGTTTGTTGTCAGACCAAAACATCCGCATCGAGCTAATCAACAGGAATCAATTTCACCCGCAACCCTTGTCATGCCTCCTATGTATTCAGCCATGTCGCTGCGCTGAATGTTGATTCATAAACTGATTTGATCAATGTAAATCAATGGGGGAATTTAATTAATTCTTATTAAATATTGAAACAAACACTTTACAAATTTGTACCAATTTTATTCCCTAAGTTTAAAACAATAATAATTATGCCTTTTCCAAATTACTTTTCTAGATAAATTTAAATTTTAAATCATTCTAAAGATTCTTTTCATGTTATGTCAGTAGAAATTTTTTATATTGATTATAAAGTTTATTAAATTTTCAGCAGATTCATTTTACTAAATGGTCACACTCAATGTGGTTCTGTGGTTTTGTGGCTTTTCACAAAAAACCATGTAACCTCAAAACATAATGAGAAGTTTACTTTTTGATATATCAAAATATAAAAAATAAATTATCTTATTTTATTATTTTAAAAACAAAGAACTATCTCGTGACTTTTAAATAAAACGATTTTAATTAAATTTTGCCTGCTTGACCTGCTACTAAAGTTTAAAAGAGAAAAACATTGCGAAAACAATCTGCAGTCCCACAAAATCGCTGTAACTTTTATAGATTCTTTCCCCCCCACACCTTATATATACTTTTATGCCTATTTTGTTGGCGAGTGTAGAAATTTGTCTCATTTTATGACCGCTTAGTTTGGATCTTTTTCTGTTCTGCCGGAAGCTGAGCACACTTTCCACCAACAACACGTCCTTTGTTCCAATTGTTCCCTACTGCAAAACAAGTCCCTCTGGCACCATAAAAGTTTATTTCTGGAGAGCTGCATGTACGAATGCGTGCGCGATTTGCCTAATTGAGCGGACGAAGCAGAAAATATTGAGCAGCTTTTTCAAAGGCCTTCTTTATTGTTTTCCAGTCAAGCTATACACAAAATTGGTTTACCCGGCCGTGCGTTAAATAAGAAGATCCCTACTTTTTTCATCACGGAGGGATTTCGCTCGGCTGGAGCGGCGTAAAAGGCTCAAGAGCTTAATAAGCGCACTGCCATTAGCATGCCGGCGCAGCGCCTTGCTTAATTCACAGATTGGAATTTATATCTTGGACGGATGGAGAGGTTGTTGAAAGAGCAAAGAGTATAGAAAATTTTGTTAGGGACCTCCCGGGACCACCAATATACAAGTTCGCAAATTGCAAAGCTATAGAAACTAGGAAGAAATTTCACTGTGACTTATCAACAAAAACGGTGATTAAATTAGTTCCTATTTTATTAAATGTATAGCTTCATCAAGCATAATTAAGTTTACCTCATTAATGATTAAGAATAATTTAATATTATATTTTAATACATAATTTTAATTGAATGGAAGCAATTTTTAACCAGGAACAATGCATTAAACATAATGAAAATTAAGCAAAAATACACTTATTAATCAATGTCATTATAAAATAGCTGCTGGTAAAAATAAAATTTTAAAGAGGCACCTCTATTTTACTTCTCCCTAGGAATGTTCTTCCTCCAAATCTTTTAATTTTTTTTTTTAAATCTAGGACGACTAGGACATTATTTGTAAAGAATAAGCTACAGAAAAAAGGCGAAAATTAACAATAATAATAAATATGAACTAAAAAAAATTTGTTTTAATGTTTGTTTTTTATCATTAATGCCGATTAACTCTTTACTTTTGGTTGAACGGATTTGAGGATAACTGTCTGTCCATTTGGAGGTTCCGGTTGATGAGAGGCACACGCACAAGCCTCTGATTAAGAAGTCCATTAATTTCCCGCCCGATTCAATAATAATCCGTGCTTTGGCGTGTTAGGCAGTCCATTAGCAGAATCAGGAACTCATTTGGTCGGAGGGGTCAAGTGAAAATTCATGGGACACACAAGTTTGCCTCACCCTCTGACATGGCGAGTGCAATTATAGTGAGCCAGCCGCTATACTTCCCCCTCACTCCATGTGTGTGTGTGTGACTCACACGTCTTTACACTACTGTTAATTTGTATTATTAGAGCATGCGTGTCCTCAAGCAAATATTGATTTTTTTTCAACAATTTTAATTCAAATCTTAAAAGATTGGAATAGGGTTAAACAATCTTAAAAAAAAATTGATTCTGGAGGGAAATGTGACGTTTAAGGACTCCTTATTGACATAGTCAAATCAAGTCTTTAAAACAATGGTTTGTTAAATCTCCAATAATTGCCCAAAATGGCTTCTATTGTTGTAAAGACTTGATTTGACTATGTCAATAAGAAGTCCTTAAATTTCAAACAAATGTCATTTTTGACACAGCTGCTAAAAAATTATATATAATAGTTATTCGTTCCTTTTTCTTTTTGGTGCTTGAATCAACAAGGAAAATACAAAAACTGTTGATAAATAAAATTTGTATTTTTGGCATTGGTTTGCATTTACAAAAAGTGGCAATTACTTTTGACACTTTTTCTCTTGCTCCACAAATAAATCTATAAAATGAATTAGTCAAAAAAGAAGACTATAGCCAACATTAACCCTAACTATAATTAATAATGTTTATTAACGCGTTGAGTCTTTGAAAATTTAAAGTATTTTTATTATTCTGTGTATGATGTTTGCTTAAATTTTTGGTGTAAGACAGATCTGTATTATCTGTAAGTTAAGGACTTCTTATTGACATAGTCAAATCAAGTCTTTACAACAATAGAAGCCATTTTGGGCAATTATTGGAGATTTAACAAACCATTGTTTTAAAGACTTGATTTGACTATGTCAATAAGGAGTCCTTAAGAACTATTTTTTTAATGAATGAAGTCATTAAGACAAGTAATGATTTTCTGAAGCATCATCTCAGCAAGCAGTGATGACCTGAGTCTATAGCTCAAACTGAGCTCAAAGGACGTCACATTGTGCGCCATAGTCATTAATAAAGAAGTTAGTGATGTCCCTCGTGAATCACGGCTCAGCAGACATAGACCTTGATCAAATTGTCCTGCTGGCCTGAGGTCAATGCTGAGGTCACTTCATTGGAATGCTACACAATTTTTTTTTCAAAACATCTTTAAAATTTTCAACAAGATGCAATTCGTAAAACGTGTAAAACTATTTAAAGAATTTTAAATTGCAAATTGAATATAATAATTATTTAAAATACTCACTTGTTTAATTGACCTTTATTTCTTCAAAAAGTGAATTTATAAAAAAAAAAAAAATAATATTCATAACACAAGAGATCGACAAATTATTTTTGAATAAGGCGAAAGTTATGATGTGTTCCATTAATTAATTATTAATACAACATCTTGACAACCCTTTCTGTTGACAAAGGGTGGCCGGGAAGAATTTGGAATTTTTACAATGCTTAAATTTGAATTTCCGCACGTAATAACAGAGGATTAAACCTGTTTTAAATAGCCGGCTTAAAGGTATTAACGTCGAGCATAATAACAACTCAATAACAAGCCAATATATGTAGACAATTAATCCGGAGTTTAGCTGTAAAATTTATTTTATATGCCACCCAATCAGTTTCCAAAAGAGATGGAATTTCTCATTGGGACAATCCGTCAGAAGAAAAATATTGCACGCAAAGAGAGAAATACACAAGTCACGCCTCCTCGAGCTCTCGCCGCTGTCAATGTCGGCGCATTTTCGCCGATTTCTACTCACCGACGCCGTATTTCTTGTTCTTCGTAGGCACCCACATGTCAGCCGATGCTTCCGAATCCAATTGGCACGCACATTTCACACGTTTTATTCGTAATCCAGTGTCTATTTACTAATTAACATCGCTGCGATCCGACAGCCAGCTTTCAAACCAAATACTATTTTTTCACTCCCCGATCTCCGCCCGCAATGCTCGCCGACGATTCATTGACGTTTTCAGAGTCAGAGCCCGCTCAACAGAGAGCAGCACACAACGGTTTATATAAAACTGAGGGGAATAAAATTATTTGTATTGTAATGATTTTAATTGCAAAAATATATTAAGTATTAAGTAGTATAATTTACGCAAATAATGAAGTATTTATTTTTTTGTTATTTAAAATTAGTAAAGATTTGAAAAATTTCAATATTTTTGAAAATTTCTCTTTCTAAATTATGTGTAAACATACTGATTAAGAGTGCTATATTTATTAAATAATTTACTTTTGTTTTCAAGCTAGCAAATTTAATGAAATGCTACAAATTATCTTGTTAATAACAGTAATTATTTTTATTTGCCATATACATAACAGACTGGGTTTTGTGTGTCATGAGTTAAGCCAATCAAATCTTTATTTTTGTCAATTTCAAAATTAGATATTGAGGAAAATATCTAAATTAATTATTTTGAATGTCTGAAAATTAATCTTCTTCGGCAAGCTCGCATCCTGAAGTTGAGTGTGACATATTTACAAAATTAGACATTCTCTACCAACAGTATTTCAAGTTGATGCAAATTAAAAATTATGCTGAACCAGACGTGGCCAATCACGCCTAAATGAGAGTGAACTAAGGTAGTGGCTACACCTGGCGAATGCACACTGGTTCACAAGCGTGGAGATTTTTCTAATTAAAAGTTGATGGACTTGCCAAAGTAGGCAGACAGGTTGGCTTCCCTCAGCGCCTCTGAGCAGGTCTGAAGTTTTGAAAGAAAATTTTATCCAAGGTTAAAATTAAAAAAATTAGAAACTTACAGGATGTGCATGGCAAACTCTGGCAATATCCTCGGCAGACGCTCCATACTCCATGGCCAAAACAGCTTCGTTGATCATCTCGCCACCTCCCTGAAATAGTATTTTGTAACAGCAGCCAGCACATTTTAGTTCTTATAACTCACAGGTCCAATAATGTGGCAACCCAAAATTCTGTCCGTCGCCTTGTCAGCCAAAATCTTCACAAAGCCGTCGGTCTCATTGTTAGTCTTTGCACGGCTGTTGGCAGCAAATGGGAACTTTCCAACTTTGTATTCAATGCCCTGTTAAAAATAGAAAAATAAAAAATAATAAAATGGAAAGATTTTGCTGTGAAAAATTTACATCACTCTTGAGGTCCTCTTCTGTGCGTCCAACCCAGGCTACTTCAGGATGTGTGTAGATTACGGAGGGGATGCAGTTGTAGTCGATGTGCACTGGGCCCCCAGCAATACCCTCTACACAAACAATTCCTTCATCTTCGGCCTTGTGCGCCAACATAGGGCCGTGAATGCAGTCGCCAATGGCAAAGATGCTACAATTTAAATGATGTTTATTTTTGTAAAGGAAAACTTCTCAACATACTTGGGAACAACGGTCTGGAACCTAGAGTTGACAGGCACTCTTCCCTTCTCATCTCGCTCGATTCCAATTTCCTCGAGGCCAAGGTTTTGAGTGTATGGCCTACGGCCAACACAAACCAGCAGAACATCACATTCCAGCTGGAAATTTTTAAATATAAAACAAACATTTCTTTCACAGTATTTAAAATACCTCTTCCTTCTTCTCTGGGTCCTTGACGTTCTCAACAGACACCAGGACTTTGCCTCCCACCTTCCTTGCGCCAGTCACTTTGGTGCTCAGCTTGAACTTGAGGCCCTGTTTAGTAAGAATTCTCTGGAAACCCTTGGAGACCTCTGCGTCGATACCCAATCCTCCTATTGAACCAAGGAACTCGACAGCAGTGACTTCAGCACCAAGTCGAGACCAGACAGATCCCTGTTATTCAAAATTTTTAATCATTTTCTAATTGAAGCTTAAACAATTTCCTACCAATTCCAAGCCAATTACACCAGCACCAATAAGAACCAGCTTTTCAGGAACTTTTGCCAGCTTCAAAGCTCCCGTGGAAGAAACGATTGTCTCCTCGTCAACCTCAATGCCCGGGAAGGGAGTGACTTCAGAGCCAGTGGCAATCATGATGTTCTTCGTGCGAACAACCTCGCTGGAGCCATCCTCTTTCAAGGCCGTTACTTCATTTGTTCCTGTGATTTTTCCATGGCCATTCACCAAGCGAACCTAATGAAAAGTAGGCTTGGAAATGGAAAACAATTTAATTTTATGTCAAACCTTATTTTGCTTGAATAAATGAACAATTCCACCCGTAAGAGCTTTGACTGCTGTTGCCTTTGCCTCCATCATTTTCTCCAGGTTTAAGGACAATCCAGAGACTGTACACTCTCGTTTTAGAAAATATTTTAAGTAAAAAGTAATTTCATACTTTCAATTCCTCTGTTCTTCAGGTCGTTAGTGTGAGCCATATGATAGTAGTATGAGTTGTTGAGGAGGGCTTTCGATGGAATGCAGCCGACATTCAAGCACGTACCACCAAGTGTTGGATTCTTCTCGATACAAACGGTCTAAATATTATCAAATCACTGGTTAAAAGTTTGATTCAAATTTCAAATGAGATTTTCCCTACGTTCAGTCCCAGCTGAGCAGCCTTGATTGCAGCTACGTAGCCTCCGGGCCCTGACCCGATGACAACCAAGTCGGCCTCCTCGCCGCTCGAGTATGCTCTTCTCTGCATGGAGACCAGAGGGACCAGTCGGCCGCATTGTGGAGGATTTGTCTGAAACAGTAGTGATTTTATTAATCGGTAATATGAAATGAGCCCGCGAGTATAGTTGTTTTCTGCTGCTTGAGTGATAAAATTTGGTGATCAAAGTCAACAGGGTCAGCTGATGAGGACATCTCGTTCTCCTCGTCGGCTATTTATTGAAGCAAAAATACGAAAATATTAATCTTATACGAAACTTACCCGCAGGGATAGACACACGGTTTTTAAAAAGACTTGGCTCATGTTGCTGAACTTGTCAAAAATTTTTGGCTAATCCCTGCCAAATCAAAATTTTGGCCGAAGGTGAGCTGCAGGACAAAAGACAGAAATTTACTTGCAAAGTACCAACATGACAGAATTTTCAGAAGAATATGGCAGAGCTGCCAACATTATTGGGAGGCTTAAAATTAGAAATAATAAGATAAAGATAAATACATAAATTACATTTAAATTAACAACTTCATACAAAAAAATCATTAAAAAGTATCTCATATAAACAAGGGAAGATATTATTTCCTCTATAATATGTAAATTCACATTAATTGATTAGAGTTTTGATAAACTATAAAAGAAAAACAATTTTTCGAAAATTTTCAAAGTTAAGAAAATATTTTTTAATTTCATTAAAATTACAATTAACTGGTTGATTTTGTTGATTTCATAAGTCATACATGTGTCACTGTGTATGTTTGGCATTACCAGAAGTGCTGCGGAAGAGCACCAGTCGGGGGAGGAAAAATAAAGCCCTTGCAAGCCTTTGACAGAAACATTTCGAGTCTAGAAATAGGTCCACTTGCTACATTGGGTGAGAGCTGTAAAAAAATTAATTAATAACTATTTTGAAATAAAATAAAAATATTAACCTGTTGAATAAGTGGGAAATAATTGTTGACGATGACAATAAACATTTTGTGGAATTGCTTTTGATATGTAGAACACAGCAAATGCCCTGCCACCTCCAAGCAAGTCAGAAGAATTGTAGCCGATATATCAGGTCTTGGGTCTAGAATTTTGTAAAGATATATTATATAAAACAGTGCATAGGGAGTAGGGACAAGCAAAAGTGATAATACAAACCAAGATTTAAGAGTGATGCAAGCCATGTCCAAATTTTGGCAAGCGTGGGTGGAGGTTGAGATGAAATGTCTCGAGGCAATTTGGAGATAAGTATTGCAAAGAATAAATGGGCAGTACCAGTCATCCTTTTCAAATACTTGTCTTGTGGCTCTATTTTTCCATCCTCATCATATTTATACCCCAAAGATCTAAAATTAATCATAATTGATTTGAAAAAATTATTTTTTAACAAAAAGGGATGTACGTTACTTGTAATAGTTCTCGTCAGATGAACCTGCAGGTCTAGGGGAATAATACGGAACAAGGAATGGGCACTTTGTGTAAAAATGAGCTAACAGCAAGTCCCCAAATTCAGGGAATTCGGACCATATTGTCAATGCTACAGCTGCAATTGCAAAAGCACTATCAGGTTTGCTGGAAACAATCTGCTCTCCTTGCTCCTGCAAAATGTATTTAAAATGTTATGTAAAAAATGAAATCCACAACTTACAACTATTCTCTCGGCAAGCAAATTTGTGCAGTAAGCAATTCCTTGTGGGTGCGAGTTTGCAGATATTACTGTGCCAGTAACCTCAACTGTTTGGCCTCTTAACACAGCCTGAAGACGTTGCAATTTGTCCTTTAAGTGCGAATTACTCACAGCAGATATAGCATTCAACGGTGTGTTAACCGATTTCTGAAAAATAAATGTTAATCAAGATAGAAATATCACTAAAAACATACCTGTAGCTGGAATCTGAGCTTTTTCATCGACTGATCCGTTTCGAATGGCTTGACGAGGTTCAAACGCTGCTCTAAGAAAGCTTGCAGCCTAGTCAGTTCAGCTAAGTTCTCCCTTGAAATAAAACCCTCCAATCCTTAAAAAACAATAGAATTTATATTAATTTAGAACCAGATTCTGAAATTTTATAAAACATATTTACCAGTTACTGTAGGCTTTTCTTGCGTTGGCTCTAGTGCTTTTGGAGTAGGAGCAACAATTTCTCTTTGTAGAGGTCTTACAACATTCTCTGGTGGTTGGGCAGCCTGTACGGGTTCATAAGCAGGTGGAGTTGCAGGCTCAGCCTTCACCTCTGCAATGACTGGTCGATTGGCCTCTTCTTTCACCTTTTTTATACCCTCTGCAAAAATATTCTAATTCATAAGAAGTGAAATGAAATTACATTTATTAAAAGTACCCAATTTTCCATTAATTGCAGAAAAACCCGCCTCTAAGCTTTGGACGAGTGCTTCTGATGTTGTCAGATCCAAATTGCTCACTTCTCCAACCTAATTTGCCATTTAACAAATATTGACAATGTCATCTACACATTAAATTAAATTTTTTATTATCTTACTTTGCACTGCTTGCTGAGAGTTTCCATCATACCTGTCAGATTTTTAATTGCAGCCACTTCTTGTGTAATGGTGCCTCCAGAAATAATTTCATCCCTAAATGGAAAAGCCCTGTGAAAATTGTTTCATTAGCCTGCCTACGAAAATTTTCATTTTACTTCAAAACATCTGAAAGCTGCTGGTACTTTTCTCTGAACTTGTGTTGGTTGGAGACGATTTTCTCGAGCAACTCTCGTTTCGCTTTGAGCTCTTCCCGCTTCCGTAAGTCGAATTTACTTGCGTCATCAATGATCTTTTCAATTTTCTTTTCCTGCTCCACGTTTTTCTTTGACTGAAGCTGTAGGACAAGAGCTGTTCGGTTGCGCTCCAAGTTTTCCAAGCCCTCGGATTCATTCTGCAAAGCGGCCTCTTCCTCTCGTCGCTCCTTTTCTCTCTGCTTGGCTCGCTCTTCCAGAGTAGCTCGAATTGCAATCGAGTACGCCCTCAGCTTAGCAACTCTGTTTAGCACAGCATCCTCCACGTCTCGTAGTCTCTCAAGTTCCATGTTTTCCAAAATTCGCCTTTGCACTGAATCTGCATCATCTGCGTCTGCATTTTTCAGGCTTGTTACCCCTTCAAATTTATCGTCAAGCTTGGATGAGGAAAGAGACTCCACAAGGATGCTGCTGCTTGTTTTGATCACATATTCCTGCAGATAATAATAGATATTATTATAAAAGTAGAGAGCCCCAAATTATTGTAAATAAATATGCTTGCTAAATTTTACCTCTTCAACTTTCAACTCCAGGGCCAATGTCTCCTCTGCTCTCTTTGCTTCGCAAATTTTTGTCGCCTTTAGTAAGGCAGAGAGCTTGATTTCTTCGCAAACTGCTGAGCCTGCTTTCATCTAAAAATTTTTATTTTATTTTTATTGAACGTATCAAAATAAATTTTATAAACGGCTCACAGTCATACTCCGAGTGATTCTCCTTCCTGGCGTTTCCAATTCGTCCATCATTGTACTAAACTATAACGGTTCAAATTTTTAAAACTGAGAGGTTTCCGTTGAAATAAGTTAATGAAATTTTGAAATTCTTTTATATAGCTATATAAACAGCTAAAATTCTAATAATATTAACGATTTTCTGCCTTGTGTCTTCTCATCTTATTGTTGTTTTGCTTCCAATTTTTCTGGAAATTGTTTCTATGTTTCTCTTCTCTGATTGGCCAGCGCTTGTGTTACTCCAGCCAATGAGCTGATGTCATTTAATTTAACTTTGTCCAACAACTGGCGGGAAGCCAGCAGATGGCGGGAAAATGATTTTGCTACAGAACAAAATTCTATAATAAATGTAATAAAAGTCACATAATATTTTTACAGAAAAGTAGATATTTAAGGTGCGTGAGAGGGGCCCCAGTTTCTTCTGAACCGACAAAAAATGAAATGTTATTGAGGGCGGGTTTTTAAGGTCACCCGTGCCATAAGTAATAAAATGCTGAGCATAATAATAAACTTTATAATAATGAGATTTACATATATTATATGTAAATCTCATTATTATAAAGTTTATTATTTATCTGATTTGTATCATATTTCACTATTTTTATTAATTTTGATGAAAATTAAAATACCTGCTTCTCTACCAGATAATTTGATTATTATTATCATAAGAATGGACTAGTGTATGAATTTAATTAAGTGTATGCAATCAACAGAAAAATAGCAATGTCAATTATAATGCACAAATTTATTGATAATTTATTTTTTATTATTTGACACAAATAAATTCTTGAACCTGAGCCACACACAGTATGCGTCAAACACAAACATGTACCCTGAAAATTGTTATCGATAAGTTTATTTTAATTAATTTGTCGTAATATTCAGCTTACTTGCAGTAGTTCCAATTATTTTGTGAGCATCTTCATAATGTGGACTAAGCTCGCTTTTCACTCTCTGCATCCAAGCAGCCAGTTTTGGGCGATTTAACCCTGGATTATAGTGCACCATTCCTGCAGAAAAATCAATTAATAATTTTCCCAGTACGTTTAAAAATTATTAGTATAGAAAAATTATTAGAATAAGTCTTATTACGTGGTTGTTCAATTTCACATGCACCAAGTAGGTCAGCGATAGAAATTTTATCTCCCGCCAAGAATGGTCTGTCTCGAAGCCATATGTTTTCAATTTTGTCAAGAGTTTCATTCATCTGCGCCAACCTCTGCTTAATTACATGCTTATTTGGAGGGCGACCACTTAAAATTGGCAAAAGGATCTATAATGCATTTTCCTTAATTGAAATAATTAATAATGGATATTTAAACAATCTTCTTACCTTTTCCCTGACATAGAGGAAGCAATGTGCTCGTGTATTTAAATGTTGCCACTCTAAGTACTCATCGACTCTAGCTTGCAATTTACTGTCCTTTGGGTACCAGTGATCGGGCACATTATTTTCACGACAAAAATACCTCAGAATTGCTACGCTGAAAAAAATTTCAGTTATTTGCGATAAAAATTATTAATAATTGGAGTGTAATTCCGTAAATTCTACATTCTATTCCGATAGTCCTACCAGGATTTAGCATTAATGAGAAAATGGAAAAAATGCTTATCACTGGAGAACTACTGACAAAGATAAGAATATCCCACATTAATCATTTTTGTTTCGATCAATTTAATTTAATTGGTTTTTACCTTTCAGTCAACTTAAATCCATTATGATCAATGGCAGGCACTAGGCCAAATGCATTTACATTTGCCTTAAACTCTTTTGAGCGCTGTTCACCTGAAGAAAATAAATTATTATAGATTTCTCAACCCAGTGAACAGATAAAATTTTTAATACCTTTGGCCAGGTTCACACTCTTTGCTTCAAAATTGATATGATTCTTTTTCAAAAAGATATACAGCGCCCTTGATGGCTGCGACATCAAGTTGTAGTAAAGTTTTAAAGACATTCTGACGGGCCTCAAATTTTGGCAATATTGTTATTATGGTGATCCAACAGTAGCATAAAATCACTTAAAACTAAAAAATTGATACGACAAACAAAATCATTTTGATAAGAGCTGCAGATGAACTACTAAAGGTCCAAAGTCATTTTTAGAATTTACCATCGGCAACGGCCCGGCCCACTTATTAACACAAACTTCCTACGTCTCCCCCTCGTGGAGATAAATTGAAGTTTTAAAAATATAAAATGCGCGTTGGTTATGAACCATATATAAAATTTAATGCTTATAACATTGTTGTTGGCTGCTTAGTGCTTATTCATTGAAAAAAAAACTGAAAATTTTAATTTTTTTATAACAAATTATATAGCAAGCATAACTTTTATTTACTGTACCACACAATGCAAAAAAAACTATTAATAATACAACAATAAGAAATTTTGGTATATAACACAATTAAAATGTATAAAAAAAATATATATCAACAGCTTTGAATCAAAATTGTGAACAATTACAATTTTGCGCCCCCTTCTCCTGAAAAATAGATACAGCTCTTAAAGTTTTGACTTTTCCGATTCTTCTCCGAACATCTTACTAAAGGACGAGTTGCTAGAATCTCCATCGTATTTGCTCATAACTAGTCGCACAACCTTATGAGCCTCCTCATAGGAAGGACCGATTTCTTTTTTCACACGGTCCATCCAGGCTGCAAGGACAGGGCGGTTTGCGAAAGGATCGAATCCAGCCATGCCTGCAATTTCATTATTTTCTGTAAGTATATTTTTAAAAATTAACCATTTTTAAAATTTACGTGGTTGCTCTATTTCGCAGGCGCCAAGAATATCTGCAATGGAAATTTGGTGGCTGTTCAAGAACGGAGTGTCTTTGAGCCAGATATTTTCAATCTTATCAAGAGTCTCGTTCATAGACTTCATCCATTTGTTCAGGTCTTTCTCAGTGGGAGGCTTGCCTGTCATAAGGGGCATCAGAAACTGAAAAGAAGAATTTTTTTTAAACGAAACAGTTAATTATTATTATTATTTATTTATTATTATTATGAAACAAAACAGTTAATATATAATTCAATGAATTTTCACCTTCACTCGGAAGTACATGGCACAGTTTGCCCTTGTGTTGAGATGCTGCCACTCTAAGTATTCATCAATCCTGGCTTGCAATTTTGAGTCTTTTGGATACCAATGATCGGCAACTCCTTTTTCTCGGCTCAAGTATCTCAAAATAGCCACACTACAAAAATAATAATTAATGTGCCAACTCTAGCTTTTAAAATATTATATAATATTATTATAAAATGAATTTAATTCTTAAAAAATATTATTCGTAATAAAAAGTTTACAATATAAATTGTGAATATTTTAATACAAACCTTTCAGTGAGCTTGAATCCATTGTCATCGATGACGGGCACCAAACCAAAGGGGTTGACATTAGTTTTGTACTCATCAGAAAAGTGTTGTCCTTAACATTTTTAATTACAGACAAAGCCCAAAAAATAAAATTAAAAAAATTACAAATGCACCTTTTTTTAGGTCAATCCGTTTAGGTTCAAAAGGGATGTTAGTTTTCCTGAGGAACATGTACACAGCCCTTGCAGGCTGCGACATGAGGTCAAAGTACAATTTCATAGACATTTTACTTTTACTTCGTCGTTTTTATCCTGTCATGAAAAAAAGAAATGTGAATACAGAGAAATTTAAAAAAAAAAAAAGACAAATAGGGTGTTTCAGTTAATGTACTCACAATCAGTTTATATTTTTCAGAGATTGTGATTATGTTTGTTCAAGTTTGAATTAAAATATGCAATTAAAACTTGACCATTTCCCCAAATGACCATTTGATAGATTACGATATGAATTAATGACGACGACTGAAGACTGAAGAGATAGCACTGATAGCAGCTCAGAGCACATATCTCATTTTTCTCATATCTCATTAAATATAATACAGTGTATGTACGCCGCCCTTGTATGTATGAGGTGACTTAGAGGCGACTTTAAGATTTCATCTGAGGGCCATGAAAATTGTATTTCGGCAAACAGTATAATTTAAACAAAAGAGAGAAATCAAAAATGGAAAAAAATTCTTATTTATATTTACTGGTCTAGAGCGAGGCGGACCTTTTTCCACGTGAAAAACAGCAAAAAAGGGCAAAGTACAGCAGCAGCAAAAATGGAGGGAGAAAGAAAAATTAGAAGGAAACAGATTCACTAGCGCACAATAATGGTTACTTGATAAAAAAAATTAAGTGGCTAAAATTTTAAAATAACAACTAACAACCTGATGATAAAGACGATGATAAACAACAAAGACGAGGGGGGCGTATCTTTTTCTGCAGCACGGATGGCAAGCAGGTTGCATAGTTTTGTTTCCTGCAGGCGTTTATAACACATGCGTATGTTTTTAACTATAATATAATTATATTCAATTAATTATCAAATTGTTATGCATAAATATAGTACTGCTAACAATAAAATTAAAATACTGAATCAAAAAAAGCTCAAACAGATCTCAAAACTCCTAAAGTGATAAAAGGATTCATGAAATATGCACCTATAGTATATAAATTTAATTATAATTATACTAATTTTAATGAAATAGCAAAGATAATTAACTGGAGCAGATTTTTATTTTAACAAAAACAATTTAATATTTATTATAATAATTATCTTCTCAACTAAAAACAAAACAAAATTCACTTTGCTTTAATTGGGCAGGATATTTTTCCTTATTTTAAAAATTACTTGCAGATTAAAAATAAAAACATAGATTTTTACATATCCAAAATGCCCAACACATTAATATGTATGCATCTTACAATTCACACAGCAGGTGGTAGCAATTTATATTTAGACGCGCGATTAACAAGCAGACAGAGCGCAGAACGTTTATTTATCCGAGTGCATATCTCAGAAGCTTCACATATGCTATTCTCAACGGAATGCTGGAAGTTAAATACGGACAATACGGTATTGATACTTTTTATGGAGCTGAAGGGCTATTATATAGCCGAAAAATGTAACAGGCAAATAAAAATCATTTGGAGTTAAATAACAGAAGCAACTAGCTCAAAACGGACTTCTTCCCAGAGAGGATTGTTGTCAAAGTTTGATGTCTCGCGTTTGCGCTTCTTTTACAACTGAAATAATTTAGATTTTCATGAAACACCAGCTCTCACTTAATTATTCAGATGCAATACCTTGACAAAGTCAGCATCTGGGGAAATATCCCAAGGCAAGACAAACAATCTTGATGGCAGAGGAGTGCAGTGTGTTGAATTATAATCCTGCAAATATCTTCGTGCCTAGTTTTAAAAACATTGCCGTAAATTTAATAACAATTATTATTATCTGATTATGTTTTACCAAGAATAATGTTAGCTGAATTTTGGTGAGCTCTTTGAAATCAGCTTCCTCACCAATCATCATAGGGTACTTGCTAGAGTACTCGGAAACATATGATGCCAAAATAGACGTACACAGATCTTCGTTAACATTGAATTTCCGAAGAAGTGACACTAAAAGAGAAAAGAAATTGTAATTTACAATTAATAACAACAAATTGAATGCATACATTGCTCAGCTGGGTTCCCAGTTGACAGCCAATCATGCAAGACATCCAATGCTTTGTCTTCGACTAGACGTGGGTAACGATGTTGCAAAACCTTGATGACCAAATTGTTTCCTCGATTTGTTGCCAGGATGTCAGGACTGTGCAAAAAAAATTAATAACAGATGTAGAAAAATAATATGAAAGTAAAAATTTCAATTGTTACAATACACCATGTAATCCAATAAAATTGAGAAGCTTGAAAAATAAATAATTTATCAACTTACTCAATCGCTATGATTTCATCCTGAGTACGCCTAAAGAATAGGGTTGGCCCAGGGTACCGTGAGAGCTGAGCAGCATTGTTGAGATTCATGTAATCACGTACAATTCTTTTCACCAAAGGTCCCCAGCTACTAGGAAAACGAGCTTGCGCGAGAGGAACCACGTCATCAAAAGAAGCGTCCACAATCTAGTTATGGGACACAATTTAAGTAACTCATATCATTTTGGTTTCATTTTCATTGCAATAAAACTAACAGCGCCTTTCACTTCAGGGTAATTCATTGAAGCCCAGGAGAGCGCGTAACCACCAATGCTCCAAGCAAACAGAATGATGTTCTCTGGCTGGAAGTTGAGTTTGTTGATGGCAAATTGCATGACTGTGTCCATCCCGTTGGCTACGTGGTCAGGATAAGGTGAGCCCTGCAAGTTTTCTCAGTTTTTAATTTGATTTCTTGCTAATTAATTTTTCTCACCGAACTCCAGCCAAATCCAGGGTAGTTCCAACCTAAGACCGAATATCCACAGCCAAGAGGAGTAGCCATTATGCCAATTTCGTAAAAGCCTGCATTTCCTTCACAGCAAATAACCAAGATGTCTCCGTTGTCATGCCTTTTAAATTTTTGTAATAACCATAAATTAAATAAATATTTGGTTAATTCTTTACTACCTTTTCCTCCGGTCCACAAAGACTGAGTCGAGCTCGTTACCGTCCCGAGTCAGCATTTTAAATCTGTCAGCCCTGTTTTCTTCTATCAACTTTGTCCGTCCCTGAACAATGGCATTGTCTGGGGATTCCAACTGGTTAAAAAATAATTCTTAATTTTCAAAATACAACCAACCTATAAAGAATTGGAGAGTACGAATACTGCCTGGGAACATGAGCTTGTAGCCCACACCGTGTGCCACCATGTAACCAATTGTCTTGATTGGTAGCGACAGAATATTGTCCAGCAAGCTATTCGAGTTTTGAGAACTGGTTGTGTTGAGGAAAATTCTCTGCTTCGACTCGTCCCTTGAATAACAAATAATTTCGAAACTGTTTGAAACTAACGTCATTGGCAATTATCCTTCCCTGGTCAATGCCAGGTTTTTATTATTTGAGAACAGCAATAAATTAAATTTGTAAAATACCCTTCAGTCTCATTCCATCTGAACTCAACGGGCCATGATGAGAAGTCAAAATCGTACTTTAGAAGCGTTCTCTGAAAATAACATAAGCCATTATAAATAAATTGTAAATATTAATTCCTGTATTTGTAACCTTGTGTGTTTTCATATCTTTCTGAGCCTCTATTAGTGTTCTCAGGAAGGAGATGTAGACTTCATTGGTGGAACGGCCAACTGCCCTGAGGCCGTAGGAGGCAGCAAGCAGCAGCCCAATTCCAGTGAGAGCCACATAACATTTACGATAAAGGGCAAAGCCAATGACTGGTATTGAGATCACCTTCAGGTTCAAGAGAACCCAAAACTGCAATAATACGATTAATTAAAAATTATGGGCATCTTTCATTATTTATTTGTCTATACATACCGACTTAATCACAACGTCGCCCCATCTTTCAAGCAGCTTTGGTTCATAATTAAAGCCCTGCAATATAAAAGTTAATAAATTCCCTAAGGTTAAATGTTATGACATCAAGGAAAAAAAATAGCAAAAATTTCAGCAGATTTGATTCTCCTGTTTTGGTAGCTTCAGTTTATATTTCGAAGACAGAAATTTAAGAATTTATTTCTACTACATACATAAATCGCATACATAAATCTATACAAACACACGAGACTTGTCACTGATTTTGTAAAATCTTTTATAACCCAGGATTTGCGTCGTTAAAAGTTGCTGAGAGTGGTGATGCAGCAAATTTTTCCATGCAAGTAGGGATAGAGACTAATAATTGCACTTGAGACTGGTTATTCAACATGTTAATGATAAATAGGTTCTGAAACTTTCACTCTCAAATCAAGACGACGAGTGCTTTCCACAGATTTTAGTTTTTGTTACCTGACTGGCGGCCGTGGAGTGAATTCGGTACAGACGCGGGCTGCTCAGGCATTGTATCAAGATTTTAAAGTAAACCGGAGCCATCGAAGAGGAAAAAATATTGCGGATCGGAGCCTACTCTTCAGCCATCGCCAGTGAGCGAGCAATAGAAATTTATCAACAAAGGGGGCGGAGCCAAAAAGTTTGCAAAACACAGCTGGTCTGGAAAACGATAATACAGTGGCAAAAGTGTCACCAAAGATAATATTTATTTTTGTGTTATCAAAATTTAATTTTTTTCGTCGTATTGGTCTAACTCTGATCAGCGTGTTTTGCTATTTAGTCAAAATTTGTCGGAGAGGAAAGAGTGCGCGAGTTTTCGAATAGTGGCGCGCGTTGTGTTCGTCACTTGTTGGATTTTAGTTCGTCGCGGCTCCGCGCATTACGATCGTGACATGGCGTCCGAGAAGGAAGTTGACTGTTGAGGACTCGCTCGAACCATTGTTTTTTATGAATTTTTATTATTTCCACCGCCATAATAAGAGCCGAGTACATTTAAAAGATTCTTGCATTGATGGTAATGCATGCAAGGAAACCCCAAAGGATCAACGATGGGTACGCCCGGCGAAATTGCTCGCCCAAAATGCACACTGACACAAGCCCCGACATTCGCCATTGTTCCGACGTCGAAAATGGACGTCGACGAATTTTTAATTTTGCCCCCGAGTCCCTCTGCACCTATTTAAGCGTTCGCTTACACTCTCGTTTTGTGTTTCAGGTACTTCGAGAAGCACCAGACCCATCCGTATCAGGTATGCGGGGCCTTCAGGTTGCCCCTAGTCGCCCGCCCGCCCCGGTCCACTGACACAAGTGACCGCTCGAAGAGTCGCGACCCCGCATTGTTTATTTGTCAATTAGTCCCATTAACGAGCTGTCCGGCACAAATAATTTGTCCTGAAAAGTCTTACTAGTTGCCCAAGAGTATTAGACAAAACAAATTTTGATCCCGCCTATTTTGGTTTCCTTAACCTGGAGGATTCAAATTCAAGATAGCCTCGAGCAATTCTCACTTGGACGCGAATGTAGAAAAAAAGACGAAAACTTTTTTTGTCCACCTGCCAATCACATAGTTGACTTCAAAGACAATCTTCATGACGTTTCGTTTCGATTTTTATTTTAGAATTCCAAATACGGAGGTTCTAAAAGCTACTCATCAGACAGATCCTATGGGCATGATCGAATGCGGGACTCCCCTAATGGAAACTCGTACAGATCTGATAGTCCAGATTCACAAAGTCCTAGAGAAAGAAATTATCAAAGTAAAAGCTCCTATCTGCAGAAAATCAGGGACAAGGAGAGAGATAGTCGAGACTATAAATCCTCGAGGGACAAATATTCAGGTAAAAAGCTTCAACATTTTCGCAAGTTTATTAACAAATTCTAGAACACACAATTTTTATTTAATTAATCATACAAATTAACTACTAGTTAATCGAATGATTTTTTATTCAATATTTTTCATTTTAACAACATATTTTTTAATAATCTATATTAAAAAAATTGAATAGCTGCTTTTCTTACCTTTTAATATAATATCCAATCAGTAAATAAAATTTTTGTTTTTTACCCTTTTGGGAAATAAAATTTGTATTTTCAATAAACACTTATTTTAAACATTCTTAGTTATGGGAGGCTAATTTTTGCAATCAAAGAAAAGATGTAGTTATGTATTTTAAATACGCAAAGAATGTTATCAGAAAAGAAATTTTATCGTGTGAAATATATATATTTTTAATAACACTTATTTTAAATATTCATAAATATGGGATTTTTAATCAAGGAAAGTATGTAGATTATGCTTTTAAAATATACAAAGAAAGTTACCTCAAGCAACTGCTTGTGTAAACATTCAAAAAGTCATTTCTATATCCAGATTCAAGATCATCTCCAAAAAGAAGCAGAGACAGTCGAGATTCTGAATACAGAAGCAACCATGACCGAGGCTCAGACGTGAGTGACAGAAGAGTAAATTTAAAACAAGCACCTACAGCTCATGATTGCCAGGAGAAACGTGATGACCGCGATCGAGGGCCCCGAGTGGGTGATTGGTCGGAACACATCAGTTCATCAGGCAAAAAGTATTACTACAATTGTAAAACAGAAGTATCTCAGTGGGAAAAGCCGCGAGAGTGGCTGGACAGAGAAAGGGACAGGGGCAGGAGTTTCAAGGAGAGAGACACTGACAGGGATAGAGGATATAGTAGCAGCTCGAGAAGTTCAAGTAGGACAAGTAAGTTATGCCCTTCAGTAGTTACCTTTTGGAAAATCAGAATTAATTCGGGTCCGCCAAGATGATGAAATCCAAATATTTTGTTGCAAGCGCGGCTGCTTAAAATCCCCTTAATTTATAATATTTCCATTTAAAATCCCCCTTCACTTAAAGTATTCTGATTGTGTGATGTGTTAAGATGAATGTTTAGACTTGTTAAAATTTTTTAATTTCCTTACGAGGTTATAAAATAAATTATTGCAATGATTTGAGTCTTGTTGTAAACTCAATCATTTAATTCTTGAAAAAAAAATTATTTAAATTTAGGATATTTTTCCTTAAAGATTTACTTAACAATTTTATTTTTGTAGCACATGATAAACATTCCAACGCAAGGAGTAGCGGCAGTAGCAGAGACCAGAAGAGCAGTTCAAGTCGCCAGTCTGATAGGGAAAATTACTACCAATCTTCAAGAGATGATGAGTCACACGAAAGAAGAAAACACACACTTGATGGCAAGTTCTTTTTTAAAATGAAATTCATACCAACATACAATCTCAAATTTTTTTTATCGACTGAAAAGAATAAATAATAATAATATAAAGCAAGGGATAATAAGTTGGGATTAATTTATTAATTATGTCTATTCGTGTATATTCTTGCTTATCATATTATTTATCTAGTTGCAGAAATAATTTTTCCTTGGGTTAAAAGTATTAGACTACTGCGAAGGCTCCCTTAAAATCAATAATACTAAATTTGCTAAACATTGTAATTATTTTACCTAAATGAGTTGCTGATAAGTTTTTATCTTTAGAATCGCAAGACATGGATATTTCCCCAGGAGACAGCACACCAACTTCTGAGACGTCGTACTCACGCACGACTCCTAACACGGCTGCCTCGGAGCACCCACATCACTCTCATTCAAGATTAGGTGGCCACCATGCGACATCGTCTGTGGCCTCCTCCACCCCAGCAACCCCTCAAAGGGGTTTTCCAGGAGGAAAGCAGCACCCCGCTCCTCAGCAGGTAAGTTCTAGTTCCCATAGTGATGCACTTCTTACAAAACAGCGTATTACTTAATTGAGTAAAAATCCTTGTTAAATTTTATTATCGAGAAACCAATTAAAACTTTAAAGTTACTAATATAAATTTGAAAAGGAGCAAAAAGTAACAAGAAATTGAATACAGTATTTAGTAAAACAAAACTTTGTACAGTTAGTCAACAATGAAGTAAGGGTAAAAGTTAGAAAAGGTTAGCTGGTAAGCTTTGAATAAGCAAAATCATGATCATAGTCATGTTCAGATTATTATTTTTCTTTAGATTGTTCTGAATTATGTGAAAATGTTTATTTTAAAGCACTTTCTGAAATTAATTTGATTAAACATAAGTTTTTAATCAGTTTCTTTGCCATAAAATTTTCTAAGAAATTAGCAATTACTCTCCATCATAAGTTGACTACTTTTTGCTTCCGAAAAAAGAATTATAAACTTTATTTCCATGATCAGCCACACTTTGATGCTGAGCATTTTAGCAGACCTCTGCTTGTTGTTGAATCTTTCTGCTCACTTTTCAATTTTTTTCTTATTTTTCTTTTTAATTATTTGAGTTAAACAATAGCAACAAAGAGGCTAAAAGCAAATTTTTTCAAATGACAATAGTTTTATTGTGATTTTTTTTCTTTTATAAAACCCGAACAATTGCTGGCGCAAATTGCTTTTGTGATCTCGTCAGAACTCAAACTTGTTAGTTAGATTCTAGTAAGATACTTACTAAAAATTCAATGTTAATTCATATTCTTTCCCAAAATAAAGATCCACTGAAGAGCTTTTATTTAATTTGAGTTAAATTACTTTTAAATTCCCCTTTTTCTCTCCATTCATTACTTTCAACTGAAACCCAAATTAATTAAATCACATTCTGTTTATTAATTTGAAAAAAGAATTTGCAGTTGAATAATGAATATTTCTTGTATTCTTCAGGCAAGTCCATCTTCGACACCCACCTCAGCCTCCGCACCGCAGATGTCACTGGCCAGTTTGCCACGACTGCTCTCACAAATAACAGCCGCTGGCTCCAAGGGGCTTGGAGATCAATCGGAGCTGTCACCGCAAAAGGCGTTGCAGACAATTCAGACGGCTCTGATGCTCTCGCGGCAGGTCTCCCTTGAGCAGCCCAGCTTCGACGCCAACAACCACCATGGCCTCAATGCCCTGTCATCAGCGTCAGCAGTCGGAGTTGCTTCAACATCGGCGCCACAGCCTCTAAAGGTGGACACGAGCAGCGGGGCTGCGCCTGCCGAGGGGCCGCCTACGCCGACCCACTCAGAGTCACAGGACTACCAGGACCCTAGAAAAGGTGAGATTATTATCAAGTATTTGAATTTTTTTTACTGATTTGCACAAAACAAAGATATTAAACGCAAATTTGAGAGAGGTTACTTCCCCAAATAACTATTTTTTATCTCTGAAGTAATACACAAATTTAAATAGAAGTACAACCAGTTTTGTTAACCATGTGTACTTTCTTTATTTAATCCAATTCAACCCTCTCTACTATCTTCGTTTGAGAGATCTATTTAAATATTATATTTAAAATATTTGTAATCAAAGAGTTAAAAATTAGGGAAGAATACTTTGCCAAAATTATTCAGTTGGTGCCAAAAACATCCCTAAATGTTGTGTGTATTTCCATAGTATTATTCCATAGCAAATTTCTATCATTCTAGCTAGGCTAGCAAGGTTCGTTATTTGTGGATTTATGTCATTCTCTATCGGAACATCTAACTATTTCTTTGTAAAATATACAGTTACATGTACAAAAAGAAGTTTAATACTAAAAATTTTACCCATATTGATATGCATAATTTATACACACATTTCCAAATTATCAATTCATCTCAGTATTAATTTACTTGCAGTATGTTTGAAATTACTGAATTTTCTTATTGCTCTGCTAAGAACCATTGTTTTTCTATTAGTTTTATTGCATATTATTATATTATATAGTTCATATAGTTGTTGTCGCAAAAAGAAGCCCCACCTGTAGATATTAAAAAATTTAAAAAGCTGCTTATTCCTTTGTTGTACAACCTGGTTTATTTTATTTTTCAGCTAACAGTCCTCCAAGCAGCCTGAGTTCACTGCAGAGTTTATCAGGGAGCAGCACACTGCAAGCGTTAAGGCCGCAGGGTCCGAACCTCACGCCCAGTTTGGCGAATTTCTACAGAGATGACCTCGTGAACCACGTCCGCGGTATGCCAGCGGAACTTGTGGAGAAACAGGTGCGTTTGTGTTGAAATGTTAAAAATATTTGATTCCAAACTTAACAACAACAAAAATCAACCACAGGCTCAGAAGCTGAATGACGAAGCATACATTCTGGGCAGCCTTCATTGTACCAAAGTGTCCGCTGAACTTAAAATGGCGCGCTCAAGGGTCAGGCAGACGGAAATTCAAGCAACTTTGCAAGAACAAAGGTAGATTATTTGGATTCCACGTTGATTGGTTTTATTAATTTTTGCATTGATGGTTTCAGAATTTTGTTCCTCCGTCAGCAAATACAGAACCTTGAGGAGCTGAAGTCACAAAACTCTTTCATGTCGGACTCATAGTGGGAAAATAATTGGAATGGAAGCGGAAAAGCTCGCTCGACGGGGTGGATTTAGAAATTATATATTCAATTGGGGTGGTTGCAGCAGCTAACAGGAAGTGGCGACAATTGTTCTGTTCCTCTGAAATGCAAATCCTAGCACTAATTGCTGGTTTGTGATAATGGACAGTGAGAAGAGTAAAAACGCGCGCGTGAAACTTCATCATCGATCATCACTGACTGTCTCTTTGGACTTTGCATTGCATATAATTTTATTTTTTACACTTGACCAATTCAACAGTGTCCCATTTTAACTTGTGCTCCTGATCGTTTTTGTCGTGCAGAGAATCAATCTATTAATCTACTAATCAACCAGTTTGCCTCAGTCAGAAGAAAAATCCGTTACTAAACTTCAGATTTCTGAATTCTGTTTTGATGGTTCTGCAAAAGCGTGAATTTTCTTGGTTCTTTGGTGACGCAAAATTTGCACGAGGTGAACAGCCTTCGGGAGTTGAAATTGTTTCTGTCTGCCTGGAACTTTTAAGGGATGGCGCGACTGCTGAAAGTAACAGCAAGAGAGAGAGAAACCGAAAGGAAAGCGGCGGATTCATTGCATTTAGATTAATGTTATAGGACTTGCATATAATCTTAAAGATAAAAAAAACAAGGCTTTTTGTAAATAATTAACAAAAGATGAAAAAATTTAATCGTAATTATTCGCGTTCGAAACTTCTCAAACTATAAACAAATCGCTCCCCTCTCTCTTCTCATATTTTCTTCTCCATCAGCCAAATTCAATAGACCCAGTTTGAGAAGTTGTCCGACCCATCATTATTTAGATTGAGGTGTCCAAAACAACTTAAAAAGGAGAACAGCAGCAAACATAAATGTACTCGTCGCCAACAAAGCTGTAGATATTCTTTTTATCCAAACTTTTGTCGATTCGGTTATCATTGTAAATAATAAAACTGCCTAAAAAGCGATTTAAACTTTTTTATTTCATAAAAAAAAAATACTGCTAAGGTTGACTAGTTATTTTCATGTGATGTTTTTAAATTGTAGTCAGAAAATACAAATAAATTACAGTCAAAGGAATAATCTTTCCCTGGTCAATGAACTTTATTTGGATTATACTTAGCGTGAAATAAGCAAAATACGAAACGACAGGTTTCCATATGATTCTCCAACTCTAAACCCTTGAAATGAAAATAATTTGAATAAAAGTTAAATTTTAATGAAGATTCTGTTAATAAAAGAAAATATTAAATGAGAGCGAAAATGAGCAGACGTCTGGTCTTATCGTCGCCCCATTCACTTTAGCAAGCAGCGAAAAGGGCAAAAGTTGAATCAGACAGAACTGGGGCGGTCGGCGCGGGGGTGGGAGTGGGGGTGGCTGCGATCGATACCCATGGCGAACGCCGTCGGAAGCTGCGACTGGTTGTCAGGCAGCTCAGTTGTTGGCCCACTCGTCGCCACAGGTGCTTTTAATTTTGCGGCTTTGTGAACAACCTTTGGACAGGTAAATAGGCCTCGCGTCATCAAAAGCACTAGGCTAGCGTAGATAATTATTAATTAGAGAAAAAAGTATCCCTTTTCGTCCGGGAAAATCGACGCAGCTGACTCTCGTTTTCTGCACGTATTACTGACTGCGGGGGCGTAGATTATGGGTCACTTTTCAAGGCCGAAGGTCGTGACCACATGACTATTAACTTACAAAAAAGCTATCTCGTTTCGGTAAAAAAATTCAAAGTCTAAACTGGATTTTCATAATGTATCTCAATGTGTCTATTGCTGATTTAATTCGAGATAATTATATATTTTTTTAAAGGTGTATAATATATAATTTTTTTTTAATTTCAAAGTATTTGCCAAGTTTAACTTTTCTATTCTTCACTATCTGGTGATATCTGATTTTTTCTGCTGCCTCCTACAGAAGAAAAAAAATTGATTTTCATCATTTGTATGTCGTGCATTAATTTATTCTGAGTTAAATCCGGCACGAGACCGTTGCTTTATGCCGGCTTATCTGCGAGCGCAGATGTTTTAAATTTCTGATTGTGCTGGTGGTGGCGGAAGTTTATATTTATTTATCAATGCTGTTTATTACTGCGACTGTTGGCACTTGCCGTGCTTCGATTTTTTTACATTTTGCTTTGTGTGCTTCAATTGGTAAATAAAATTAAACATCACATATTTCAGCAAGAAATCAAAGTCTCTGAAGGTAATACGAATATAATTAACAAAAACTTCAGCTAAAATTAAAATCCTATTAATTTATTATATGTTATGATGAATACTTGCTATGGATTAAATTAAACAAGCAAACAAATAATAATTCATGTGATATACTTGTTAATTTAATTCGACTTAGCTAATAATTTGAAAAGAATATATATACTTTAAAGCATCATGTTTCTATATTTAGCAATTTTTATTAATTGTAAATCGTTCCGGGTTCCTTAGGCTGTGCGTCATTCCGCTTTTGACCCTGTGGCTTTGCGGGTCTTCCAAGATGATAGGGACGTCGCTGCACGAGTTCGAGTGCGCCCGTCTGATGACGAACGCATTCCTGGCGGTCGTCCTAGTGGGCAGGTCGTTCCTGGCCCTGCCACTGCTGCCCGTCTTCCTGCGCTACCTCGGCCTGACGGCGCTCGAGGCGGGTCTCGTTTGCGCCGCCCAGGCCCTCGTCGAAATGCTCCTGACGCCCGTGTGGCTGCTGGCGGTGCGGCGCTCCGGCCTCCGCCGCCGGGCCCTCATTGTTCTTGGCCTCGTTCTTGCAGCTGCCCTTCACGTTTGTCTCGTCTTTGTGCCACCCTCCGGCACGCCTCAGGTCCTTATTCATTTTTATTAAAAAAAAATCCTTTAAAATCATCTGTATAATTTCTTGCCAGAAATAATTTTTCTTCCGCTTTTTCTTATTTTTTTTTTCAAATTCATTAAATTTTGTATTTAACAATTCAAAATTAGTAAAATATATTAATTTGCAATAAAATTTCAGGACGTGACTCACTGCCTGGCAAATTCGAACGCTACAATACCCCCTCCAGTGAATGGGGTGATGGTCAGGGCGGCCACCGAGGCAGCTACGTCTTCCCGGCCTCCAACCTACAAAACCTTTGTCCCTAAAAGACCGCTGACCTCAAAGGCCACCCCTGTCAGTGCCACCGAGACCGCTAGAACATTGCCAACCTCAACGACCCCTACCATCATACCCTTCGTGGACACAACCCCATACTCTGTACCGGCAAGTGAAAATCAGCAACCGTTGTACGAGGATGATTACGGAGGTGGTCAGCAGAGTTATCCTATGCCTGCTATTCAAGGTAATAAGTAATAATTTCTTGATCTTAATAAGAAAAATTTAATTGTTAGATTGAAGTTTACAATCTCTTGATACTAAATCATTTCAATTTATTTAAAATTAAAAAGCTCAAAAGATTTAAATATCCGTTAACATTTTATTAAAATATGGCCTCCAGTCCAATACAGATGAATATGAATTGAATAAAAATTGAGCAGCTTTTTCTTTAGTAGCGTTGTTATATTTGAAAGTACAATTTTCGCTTTTAAATTTTCTTTTCTTGTATAGAATAGAGTATAATCTAAATGGAAGATAATAATTTAGCAATTGAAGATTAACACAACTTGTAATTTTTTTATGATTTTCTTCTAAAATACACTATCAGCCTATTTATGCAATCATTTTTACAACCACGTCAAGCAGGTTGCATAAAGTTTTATTTTACTGATTGTGAGATATTTTATTTCTGCAGATCCACAAACGAAGCGGCGGCCGCCGATTTACGACTACCACTATGCAGACTACGCCGCCGAACCAGACTCGTCTTGGCGCGGCCGTCGATTGGCCTCAGTCGTGGCCGTCCCACACCTGCCCACCTCGCCAGTGTTCAGAGCAGCATTTGTCCTCTGCTGCCTGGCGGCCGCTTTGGCCTGTTTGGCTGAGCCGGCCGTGGCCGCTCTCTGGCGCCAAAGGCTTGACGACGCCGAACACCTTGAGTTTAGTGGCGAGCACGTGGCCTGGGGGCGCCTTCTGGGTGCCATCTGCCTTGCAATTCTGGCTGGTGCTATGGCGTGGGGAGCACCCTGTTTTGTTGCTCGGGGACTCCACCAAGAGGTTCATAATTCATTCAAATTAAATTATATTAATTAAATTAATTAATTATTAGTATTTATTTATATTTTTAGAGTTAAAAATAATTCATAATGAAATTTGCAAACTTTCATTTTTTAAACATTATGTTTTTGCTGCTTAATAAAACAAAATATATTCTCAAACAATTTCATTATTTTAAAAAAAAATGATAGACTTACTTCTTTTGAACAAAAGTAATATAATTTAATATTTAATTTTATAAATGTTTTGCAAAGCTTTTTTGTTAAAATGGATAAAAATAATTTGCAAAATTAAATGGATGTAATTTCCTTTGCAGGTTTTGCACCCTTTAGCATCAGCAGGTTCTTACGGCGTGGCCGCCTTTCTTGCTCTGGTGCTACTTCCTCTACCTCCTGGAAAATTGGCTGCCCCCATCAAACGCACTGCCCCCGCAGCCCCTTTGCGCCTCGTAGCTCGCGGATTAGCGGCTGGACTTGCAGGTCTAGCCTTTGGCTCTGGAGTGACTTTTATGCTGTGGCACGTGGCCGAACTGGAGGGATTCTCCTTCAACTATGAACTGCTTTTTGGCGGATTCATGGCTGCTGAAGGTCTTGTGGCTCTACCTGTTCTCTCTTGGGCTAGAGCGGCACCAAATCCAGGTAATTTCAGACTTGAATTTTACATCACTTAGTGTGATATTTATAATCAGTGTTGTATACACATTTCTGACTTAGAAAAACAAATAAAATTTTTTTGCGAAATATTCAATTTTTTTGGGCCCTAAATTTAAACTAAATTATGTTTCTTCTAATTTTAAATTGATGATAATAAAGATAAAATAAAATAAAAAAATAAATACCCAAATAATATAGGATTGGAGCTTGCCTTCTGCAAGCTCCATAAGGGCACAGGCCGACAAGACACTTTGTCTTGGCCTGACCCAAAAAGAAAGTATTTTCTAAGTGCTTTTGATTATTATAAACATTTTAGCAATTTTAAAAACTAATACACAATTATAATTAAAGATAATTATTCGTTTATAAAAGTATCCAGCTAAAAATATTCCAGGTGGTTCGTTTGAGAAAAAGGGCCATCTTTTCTTCACGTTGACCTTATTTTATAAATAAACATAATTATTTAAGTTAACGGGAAAATTCAAATTTGTTTCAGTTGGTGCCTCGATTGGTCTGTTGGTTTTGGCCCTTGAGTTTGGTTTGGCGCCTCTGCTGATCACACCCACGCCAGCACCCCTCCTGGGCGTTCTCCAGGGTGCAGGTGGTGCGCTCTTGGAACGCTCCCTGGGCTCAGGTTTCGGCTCGTCGTCTTGGCGCTTGGGTTTGGCCATTGGCACCGCTGCCTCCGGCGCCTGCTTCCACTTTGTGGGCGCCAGACCAACCCTCTGGAGTGCGGCCGTGGCCGCTGTCGTGGCCGCCCTTGCTGTCATCATTGCTGGAAGGTAGGACCGGCTGTTTTTCTTTTACTTTTACTTTTGAGCATCACTTGAAAAAATTATGATTTCATAATAATTTATATTTCCCAATTGGGTAAATCAAATTTTTTAAACAATCCTATAAATTTGAGATTATATATATGTAAGTATTGATCTTTTTGCGGATTGTGTCATTCTTGAAACTTTTAGGGCAAATTTCATGGTCATTATTAACCTTTCCGGTCTTAAAAATAGGCCCTTGGGTATAATTCCATAAAACACGTAGTTTCCTCACAAAATGTCACTCGCACAAGGACAGATTGGTCGTCTGAATGACGCACTCGCGCCACAGCTTCGACCTCCGATTGCTACGGCCCGCCACAATTTTATGAAATTCTATACAAAAAAAATCTTAAAATTTTACTCGAAAGAAATTAACATAGTGAAACGACGGGCGTTGTTCCGCTCGAACGTTGTCGGAAGGAGGCGCCCTCCACTCAAAAGCGCTCAACTAAATGAGCAGCACCGCCGGAAAGGTCATTGACCTTCTAAACGGCGCCCACTCAGCTCATCAGGGTGGCCCGAACCGCCGCTGGCCCATACGAGTTTCGCTGCTCGCCCGGCAAAATATTTCACCGTCATAAATAATGCCGCAACTCTTTGAACACCAGCAGCCTTCAAACAAAAGCAGCGAAATAAAAATAAATACACACAGCAAAACACTCGGGACCAGAAGAGAAGTGTCGTTTTTTACTAAAGAGAGGTTGACAGTGGAGCGGTAAAAATAGAAAAAGCCTTTAAATAGCCATCGCGTCAATTAATACTCATTTCACCAATAAATTATTCAATTTGAAGGTTGTCAACATTTTTCTACATATTTAATTAAAAAAGAACAATGGGTGGTAATTAACCGAGTGGTAAACGAGTAGAACTGGAAATGATGTGTTGGTTGTGGCATGCGAGCGATTATTTTATAATGCCCGTCTCTCCTCCTCCTAACTCAATTAGGTCACGACCTTTTTATTGAGCGCCGAGCAATCGCATGCCATGCGAGTTGTTCAATGCAGCGTAAAATAATGCGATCATCATCACGAGAGAGTGGAAAAGCGCGCCAAACGTCCAGGGGAGGAAAGTCGGTCAGATGCCTTAGCGGCTGATATATTTATATATGGGGGTGCAATTTCCTGCTCGCTCACCGGCCGGAATGAGGCAGTGGCCGAAGCAATTTCTTGAACCAACACAGGGGGTCCTCTTTTATGGGCACCCGTTTTTTCAACGTTAATCCCTTCGGATTAAGGAAGGATTAAAAATGAAAGTCCAAAATTGTGCAGTAAAAAAATCGTATGCAGTATAGAAATCTGCTTTATGGAGACGAAAATAAATTACTAAATAATTTAATAACGCAAAAGTATTAAATAAACTCCAGGTATATTTTCTAAATTTTAGTTGGCGAATAAGTTATTTTGTCCGATCATTAGCAATAATTAATAATTTAGCCACTTTTGTTCAGAACAATTTTTCCACGAGTAATATGAGTTTGTTGCTTTTTTTCGGAGCTGCTGTTGGAAGTTTAATCGGTTGTGCTAACGTAGGCGTGTCGCGAGTTCATTTCCATATTTTCATCCGCTACGGGGAATAGAAAAATATATAATGGTATACAGAATGCATCGCGCACATTCCTCTCTCTTATATATATTTTATTTCGGCGCGATGATGAATGGTTGTTGGTTATTTTTTTATGCTCACGCCCCTTCCTTCGACGATAATTATCAATGAGAGGCCTTTGAGAAGAGCTCAAAAATGTGACGCAATCCGGCATTAGAACCGAAAACTTATTTTGAACAAATTTTCCAGCACTTGCACTTTCCACTGAAATTTTATATGGCGAAACCAACGAAATGATAAAAGAGCTAGGAAGACGAGCCGCACGCAACCGGTTCTATATAAAACTGCTACTCCTTCTGCATAATAAAACAAAATTAGTTTGCTGGATCACGCCCAAGAAAGACAGTACGAAATAAATGTAGACGGCCGTGTGAAGCCTGTCGTTCTTAACATCTTGTCATTCGGCACACGCGAAAAATTTTGGCGCCCAAATCAGTCTTGGTCTCTGCTCAGTATAAAAGGAAAAGTTTCTCAATTCTCCTCTTTAATCGCTTACAGACTCGTGTCGTTGTAAATCAAATGCTCTTGAGCCGTTTTCGTCATTAAAATATTTTTATATTCCTTATATTCCATCTTTCGTAAGAGCTCTTAAAAGAGTGCGGCTCATTTATTCAGTGGGAGGCTGCGAGGAATGAAAACGTATTTCACGCCAGATGCACTCATTTTGCTGCTGCGTTTTAATTCCGTGCGAGTTGCTCCGCGGTTGGTTCTCTATTTTACACTTCGGTCAACTTGGGGTGTAATAAAAAAGCGCGCAGCTTATATTCGTTTGCGGGGGCCTCCGTTTTTTCGGCACTTAAACTGGGGAAATGAGTCGACGGTTCCTGCAATTGTACTTGTTAGGAAAGAGACTAACAGAGCTATAAAATTTTGAGAACCCAATTCAGTAAAATTTAATTGCCTGCAGAGAGAAAAGAAATCTTAGAAAATCACTGTATTATGGAATATAAAATATAAATTAATAATATTTAAATAAATTGAAAAGAGTTGAAGAGAAAAAAAATTATATATACATTCTCTTTACAATAGTGTTAAATTTTAAAATTAATTAATGAATAAGTTGCAAAAATTTTTTGTCAAGAACTATCCATTATTTAAAATTGCTAAAGAAATGGGTGTGGGGGATAAAATTAATGTGCTTATTAATTATTATGCTGATCAAAATACTTCTTAAAAATTATTGGCGCAGACAGCGATAAAAAATCCTTTCTACTTTTCATTGACAATTTAAGGACCTGAAACTGAGATTTTTTTTATTTTATCAAACAATATATTAATGGTAAGCCCTAAAAGCCCTTGAGCTATCCTGAGGCAACGGCAACATTTATATCGACCTTTTTGGCAAGTTTTAACATCGTAAAAATGTTTTGTAGGCATAAATATAGCCATTGTCCAACAATAGCCCTAGGTTTTTTAATCACCCCCATATTGTTCTTGCAAGCGTAATCATTTCTCTTCTTATAAATTTATTTGTGAAACTTACAGCATTTTAATATATTGAAATATTGAAACTTTTAAAAAAAAATTGGGAAGTACAGTTTTAAATACTTTATTTTTAATTATCAGTTGAAGGAGTTGAAGAAACTTTTGTTGCAATTTGAATTAATTACAAGTGAATTCCTTACTCCGATTCTACGTTTGTAATGCCAAATTTAGGAAGGCGCGGCACGTTTCGGTCGTAAAGTGAATGGAAACGACCGAAATTCCTTCCACCTGTAGGTGAATTAATCCTGCCAACCAATTCAACTTGAAAGGAAAAGGCCCCTCGGAAAGGGGGAGATTCACTTTCAACCTGCGAACCAAAAAAAATCCACCTGCGCTGCCATCCTCGCTTTTTAATTTCTCCCATCAAAAGCATGACCGTTGCCCGTGCGTCAGGTGGAGAAGGTAATCCCTGAGTTGATATACCTGCGGCCTCTCGGACCGCGTGCCTCCCCTCCTGCCCCCGCTGCTGCGCCGCCGTTCTTCGGAGCCAGTTTTCCGAGTCGCGCGCTCCGTCACTCGCTCGCAGTCAGTTTGGCTTTTGGCGTCGTCCGAGATGTTTTGGTGTTTGACGACGATTTTGGTCTTCGGGGCCTTCCCGACGGCCCTCTCGACGCCCGTCAACTTCACCGTCGTGTACGAGTGGTTCAAGCTGGACTACGCGTGGCAGACGGACGGCGGCAAGGCGCAGGCCCTCAGCCTCGGACGCTACCAGCCCGAGCACAACGCGCCAGGGGCGCTCGCCGTCCTCGGCTCCAGGGTCTTCATCAGCGTGCCCCGACACCTGCAGGGGGTGCCGTCCACCCTCAACTGGCTGCCGTCCATCTACGCAGCGTCTGCCTCCCCCAAACTGCACCCCTTCCCGTCGTGGGAAATGCAGGTATATCAAAAAAATCATAGCTACAAGGAAAAATCAATAATTGCTTCCGTGCTTCTGACAGTTACATTCAAATCAAATGCTTCAAACCGAAAATAAAAAGTCTTTGAATTTGCAAGCGTTTAAATTTTAGCTGGCTCTTTTTCAGAAAATGTTAAATTCTCACTTATGTTCATTGTTAATTTAATTGCTGACAAGAACAAAGGGTCAAAGTAAACAAATCGTTTGGATGATCTGGGATGAACAATCGCCACATTAAATAAATGGTTTCTACACGCACAAAAATAATCAAAGCTGCTCACTTGCAGACCTTGAACTTTCAGGTCAAATCATTTGCTGATTTTATTAAGGTAAAATAATATTCGAGACTCCACCAATATCTATGTATAATTGTATACTAATATTCTCTATCATAATCATAGCCGCTGCGAAAGAAATAGAAGCGTTTTGACTAATAATTATCTCAGACTAAAATTTTTAAGAGGACGTAAATATTTAATTTGTAATTAAAAGAAAATGTTAATGAAATGGGAATAAGATATGAATGTATCGTCAAACCTGGAAAGTTAGTGAAGCGTCTGTGCTATGCTTAAAAAGTATATGTCGGTATATAAAAAGGCACAAAGGTGACAAAGACAAGAAATAGAGGAGTGGCCGTACAGGAGAAATAGCTGCTCAAAGAAGGGGCCTTTTATAAAAACCGTTTCAAAGGCGTGGATTAATACACCTTAAAATGGTAAAAAATAAGCGAATGTGTTTAATTTGCATAAACATGCATTTCAAAAAAGTTCATATGTATTAAATTTCTTGAATCCGAAAAATTATTAACTTTTTTGGTGCGTTTCAGTAATTTTATACATAATTTAATGAATAATTATATAATGACAGCTAGACTGTCTCAAAAATTATCAATACATATCCAGAAAAAAAGTTGAAATGTTTTGTTAAATTCTTGCAAATTCACTGCGTCAGCAAAATCAATTTGAAGCAAAAATTAAATTTTAAAAAAAAAATGTAATATTTTAAGTTTTTCATTGCAAAACTCCTTCTCTCTAGACCATTGGAAACTGCACAGCCCTGCAAAACGTGATGGGCCTGGAGGTGGACTCCCATGGCCGCCTGTGGGTAGTGGACGCTGGCCGCCTTTTCATGCGCATGAACCTGCGCCGACCCGAGTTCAACAAATGCCCTGCCAAGTTGCTGATCATCGACCTAAACAACAACAATTCCATTCAAATGTCCTACGAATTCCCCGACGACGTTGTATCACGAAACTCGAGTCTCCTGTCCGATCTCGTCCTGGACAAGACGTCCGACGATTGGCTGGCGTACATTTCGGATGCCTCTGGACACATCGTGGCCTTCAGCCTGAACAAAAAGAAGTCGTGGCGTGTGCAGCATCCGTCCATGAAGCCGGCGACTCCCGAACACGAGCCTCTGCCCCTGGGACGCGACCTGGGCGTCAGCGGACTCGCCCTTTCACCCCTCAAGGACAGGACCTTCCTCTACTTCAGCACTCTCAGCTCCACCGACGTGTACTCGGTGCCGGTGTCTGAACTGAGGGCTGGAAGTGAGGAGTTGACTGTGAAGACTGTCGGAAGTAAATCTGCGCCCTCCAGAGGCATGTCCATGGACAATAAGGGCGTCATGTACTTTGGGCTGCTTGGAAAGCAATCAGTCGGCACCTGGGACACCAGAAATTCCTTTAGGGAGGAAGTTGTATTTGAGGTAAAAAGTTAAAATATTATGTATATTTATCAATTTTTTTACTTATATTGCATAAAAAAATCTTTAGCAGGCTTGTATTTATTTAATTTTATCAATTATTATTTATAGTTATGAGTTAAAATTATGAATTAAATACAAAGAGAATATGAAACTTTTTAAATAAATCTTAATATTATTTTACTATTTGCAAAATATTAACTCCTGAAATTCATTGTTAATGTATTTTTAAATTTCTAATTTTGTTTTTCTCAAACGTAGGACAAGGAAGTGCTGCAATGGCCGGACACATTCGCCTTTGACGCTTCAGACAACCTTTGGCTGGTGGCCAACAGACTGCAGGCTCTCCTGCAGCGCAAGCTGAACCTGGAGGAGCCCAACTTCCGGCTAGTCCGGGCGGCAGTCGGCGCCAAGTCCTACATGTACCAGGATTGGATTTCCCAGGACACCAATTCGGCCTCGAGTGCGACCACAACCATCGTGGCCTCTGTGCTGGCCGTGGTGGCCGCCGCTTTCACACTTTAAGAGGTTAAATGATTTGTTTCGCTTGAGGTGTCAATAAACTAATTTGCATCTGGTTGTGGATTTCTCAATTAAACAGTGAGAATGTGTGAAGGCCGCACTCATAAATCGCGAAAAATATTGTGACGCTGATAGTCCTCTCGCTCTACGTATGTGTCCGATAAATAATCCTCGAGTTAAATATTTGAAGAGGGAAATGTGCTAAGCGAGCTAATAAGCGCGGGCGCCAAATGACCCAGCGCGAGAGTTTGTTTGTCGGTCACATGAGCAAGCGCGCTCTTGCTGGCTATTTCAGTGGCGATAGCCTCACGTTAATTATCGTCAATTACGCGATTTCTCCGTATCCCAACCCTGCGCAACAACGGCTGGCCGCTAATCAAAACCGCCCGCGCGAATGATCCAGCATAAAATATTCCATCGCATGCATTGTACTTATTTTAAAATGAGTAATTTATGCAACCGATCGTGCATGCGAGAACTTATTTAATGGCTCAAATAATTGCTCTTTGTCATGAACGCCGAGTGCTTTTGCGCAAAGTTTACAACTGAAACGCAGGCAGGTGGCGCTTCCATTAGCGGAATCGTGTTTTTGGCCGCAAATTTTTCGTGCAAAGCTCTCTCATGACGTTCATCGTCATACCGGCCTAATTACAAAGGCGGATCCCCAAAAAAGCGGAAGCTTACTTGAATAATTTTTTCCATTGTTTACGCGCGTGAAAGATTTACTGCGCTTAACACGCTTCTCCCCTCTCGAAGGCAAATATTAGTGTACCCTGTTTACTATTCCAATTACTAGCAGGTAGTCCTACTTTACGCCTGTTTATTTTCCTCGCACGAGTTTTGTTTGCGCAGTTTTATTTTTTCAGATGCATTCTGGTTTTCGTTCTGTCGGTCGTAGTGCCTCGGCCGGTCTATATTTAAGCGATGCTCAAAAATAAACCAAATTTAATCAAAGCAAAACACGCTGACCCACATTGGGCCATTGATAATTAACAAGCAGCGGGCGGAAGATTTTAAAAGTGACACCATCTTTAAGAACAGACTTATTGGTTTAATCATGACTCGTTTCAAAAGATTTTGAAACTTTGAGGATTAAAAATAAAATAAGACACTAAAAATAAAAAGTTTGGAAAATGTTTAAGATTTTCAACAAGCAACTATTAATTTTGGGTTTTGTATAGGGAGAATTTAAAATATCGTTATTTATTAGTTAAATTTAACTATTGGTTTTTCAATTTTTGGACTAGAAATTATTTTCTAAATAAATCTGATCTTCAATGCCAAATTTTGAAAGTTTTTATGTCCCCTCCATTGGAAAAAATATATTTTTTTACATATCAAATTTATAGAGTTTGTGAATATTTAAAAAAAATATATATGAAATATATTTCATTACATTATCACTAATTTAATTTTCAACGATGCTCAAAAGTAAATATTTTAAGTGTTTTTCTTTGTCTATGGCTTGAACCCAATTCTACCGAGTGTTGTATTTCAACTAATTTTGGATATTTATCCTCATTCAGGACACCCCCTGTGAAGCACCGCCGTCGTACATACAACCAACTGCTGCTCTCGGACACGCTGGAGGTGCTCAAGCCAGAAAACTCGGACTCTGAGGAAGGAGAAACCGACTGGCTGGAGCGCGCCCTCCGAGAAGAAGGCCCGTCGGGAGCCCCTGTCAGCTGAGCGGTGCAATCAGTGCGCGAGGACGCTTGAATCGTTCACTCTGATAAACGAATAATTATGCAAAAGAAAGAGAGAAAGAAAGTATGGATGCTGTGAAAAGAGAATTAAAAAAAAATGCGCCAGTGCAAAAGTAATCTGAGATATATATGCTGTAACTTTATGTTTTTTTGAGTACAAGTACTAAAAGTGAAATAAGTATATTTTGCTGCTGACGTTTTCCCACAGAAAATTGTTTCACATTGGTGAAATAAGACAATTAAGTGGGAAAAGAGCCTTAGAGTGTTTAATGAATTCCCTGAACATGCTGAGAAAAAGATTTATGGCAAATAAAAAATAAAAAAAAAATGGATAAAATGTATTTTAGACGCTATATAATGTCAAGTGTTGTTGTTTAAAATAGCAAGTATGTAATATTGATAAAGAAATATCAAAGAATAAAAATATCGATAGTTTGTTAGGAAGCCTAAATCTGCTGAAAACACAAAAGGCGCTTTCTTCAATATTGGGCCCAGGGTCCATTAAAAAAGTCTACGCTCAGAAATGAGCGTCCGATGGTAAAACAAAAGAAACGGTTTATTGGATGCGCAACTGATAATAAATTAACATTGAACTTATGAAGGAATATAGCTTTTTATTTAGTATGACTCTACAACTTTCAACTTGAAATCAGCAATGATAGAAATCATAAAACAATACTGGGAAATCAGGAAATGGCAGAGACTTTTGAATAAAAAAATAAAAAGGGGGATTGCTTGAAAAATAATTTATTTTAGTGGAGTTGTCAATATTATATTTTATTTTCACTCCAAGGAATATTTTTTTTATTATCACGCACGCATTATATAGCAACAACGCCAACAACAGGGAGGCATATCACAAATCTTATCAAATCGCATTCGCTGACCTCTGATCATATTTTTTTTTGTACAGTGATCAGCAAGCACCAGTAAGCGAATTTCTTTCCCAACGACTGTTTGCTGCTTTAAAAATGGAATTCTCTGCTACCGATTTAGTTTTAATTTTCCGTACATTGGTATTTTTGCTGATCCCTGTACTATTTGTGCTCTACAATACTCACAAGGATCCGCGAATTTGGAAGATGCTGAATTATTTTCAGGGACCAGCGACCTACCCTATCCTTGGCAACGCTTACAAGTTATTTGGATTGAGCCCTGTTGGTAAAAAATTAATTTTGATTGAAAATTTAATTTCTATTGTTCGATTGAGGCAGAAATTTTCCAAAGGATTTGTGAGGACACACGGGAGTATGGAAGATTATTCCGCGTTTGGATTTTGAGCACGCCGCAAGTGGTAATTGCCTCTGCAAAATACGCAGAGAAAATCCTGCAGGGGATGCAGCATCACGTCAAAAGCAATAACTACAAAATACTCGACAGTTGGATGGGACAGGGTCTGCTGACTGCAAAAGGTGTTCCCAATTCTAATTAAGTAATACTTTCTTAATAAATTATTACTTTTTGTAGATAATATGTGGAAAGTGCACAGAAAAATTTTGACTCCAGCTTTTCATTTCAACATTTTGCACGAATTTTTGCCGATTTTCAACAAAAACTCAAAAGTGCTGGCAGAAAAATTAGCCAAATTTTCTGACACTGGAGAGGACTTTGATATATTCGACCACGTTTCACTTTGCGCCCTCGACATCATATGTGGTGAGTTTTAGAAGAGTGCGAAATCAGTTACTTACTAGACATTATGCAAAATATTTTTTAACTCTCAGAAAGCTCAATGGGCACTTCAATCAATGCGCAAACACTGAGTGACTCACCGTACGTCAAAGCAATCAAAGAGTACGTGTATGTCGCAATGGAGACTGTTGCTTAATTTTTTGTTTAATTTTATCAGACTGAATACTCTACTGGTGAAAAGATATTTCACTCCTCATTACCGAATCAACTGGATATATGAAATGTCCAGCCTAAAAAGGGAAACGGAGCGATTTGTAAAAATTGCAAACGATTTCACAGACAAAGTTTGTTTCAATTTTAATCTCTTTCACACGACTTTCACATAGGAATTTAAATTAAATCAAAGGTCATCAAAGACAGACGACAGTACCTGCTCAAATTCAAGAAGAATGGGGTTGAAAATAAAAATGAAGAAGAAGGTAAGAGAAAAACCATGGCATTCTTGGACTTGCTTTTGGCAGCACAGGAAGACGGCGAGCAATTCATGACTGACAAAGACATCAGAGACCAAGTCAGCACTTTCATGTTTGAGGTTAATTAGCTTTTGACAGCGTCCTCATTTTAAAAAATTGATAAAAAAAAAAACCCAGGGTCATGACACTGTGACCACGGCTAGCTGCTGGACTCTTTTCATTTTGGGCACTCACCCTGAAATTCAAGAAAGGGTGGTCGAGGAATTGCGTCATGTTTTTGGTGATTCGGGCAGAGCGCCAACAATGAGCGACCTGGCCGAGCTCAAGTACCTTGAGAGGTGCCTAAAAGAAACCTTGCGGTTGTACCCTAGCGTGCCCTTCATTGAACGACAGCTGAGGGAAGACCAACCTTTCGATAGTGACAGTTAATTGAACAATTTTATTTGAGTATTTGAAATAAATTTGAAATGATTTTTTTAGATGGAATTATTGCGCCGGCAGGAGTAACAACTTCTTTCAATATTTTTATGCTTCACCGAGACCCTGAACACTTTCCTGACCCTGAAAAGTTTGACCCTGACCGTTTTTTGCCTGAGATTTCGCAAAAGCGTCACCCTTATGCCTATTTGCCTTTCAGCGCAGGCCCTCGTAACTGCATTGGTTTGCTATTTAACAAAATATTTTCAATGGCCCATTTTCATTTTTCTCCCATTATTATAATTAGGACAAAAGTTTGCGATGATGGAAGAGAAAATAGTGGTGTCTTCAGTGTTACGACGATTCATTGTAGAGGCGGCCCACAAACCTGAGGAGGCCCAATTAAAGGTATTTTTGTGTGAAATGTTTAATTTTATCTTGCATTAAATTATACTCCTCAAAATCAGGTTGGCCTTGTTCTAAAACCGGAGAATGGACTGAGGATAAGACTACGCAAAAGAGCGGCACAAGATGCAAAGCTTCGTATATCAGTTAATTTATAGCATATAGCAAAGGCTTAATCTTTTATTATCTTACCCCAAAATCTATGAGCAATGCAATAAGTAAAACGAACGATGGTGAAGTTATAAAATCGAATCGTTTCTGTAAAAAGAAGAGTTGTTTTATTGTTGCTCATTGATAAAGTTCTGCTTTTGCATTTTTACTACTACTGGAAAAAAATATTAAAATTTCTTGCTACTGCGACATAAAAATATTAAAAAGCAAAATATGATTTTTGCAATGGACCAGCATGGGACTTTTAGGCTGGTTGTTTACAAAAAGATGTGGATTAAAAGCGTTATTTTTATCTACGGCCTTCACCTTTGAGCCCTGGCTGCTTGGATCTTGTCGTTGTGGCGCAATATGTTTGAGCATGTGAATGGACTGCCAATGCTATAATAGAAATGATAAGGATTTAAGAGATATAAAATTTAAGCAGTCTGGTCAAAAGTTATAGATTGATTGAGGAGTTTGCTAAGTGGTTTCACGCTGCCAACATGGACGGAACAGTTGCCTGGCTAGTCCCGATTTTCAGAAATGTCCTTTTCTTCGTCGTGCCGCTGGTATATCTGTCAATCCAATGTGCAAAGAAGTTCAAGTTCATTTCAGCGGTTGAGAAAATACCGGGGCCAAGGGCATGGCCCTTGATAGGAAATGCTCCGATTATGATGAGACTCAACTTGACAGGTTGGATAATCAACTAAATATTTTTTCTTATTCTTTCAAGCTCGATTGATTAAAACACTAATTTTCAAAGCGAATTTGATGCATGATATTGATTTTATCAATGGGAGTCTATTTTTTCTGGAAAAAATTTGTTTCAATTATTTCATTTTTCCCCCAAATAACTTATAAATAATAACAAATATGTTGATAATTTAGCTTAAAATTGATTTTTTTCAGAGATGTTTGATTATGTTACTCGCGCAGTTTTTAAAGATTTTGGTCCTCGCATTCGGTTTTGGCTTGTTGATAAGCCTCATGTCGTGATTACAAAAGCGGCAGATTGTGAGAAAATTATGCAGGGAATGCAGCATCACATGAAAAGTCAAAACTACCACCTTATGTTTGATGCTTGGATGGGAGAAGGTCTCTTAACTTCAAATGGTCGGAAAAAAATTAGGAAATTTTAAAAATAATCCCAATATTGTGCATTAGATGATAAATGGAGACTGCAAAGGAAAATCTTGACGCCGGCTTTTCATTTCAACATATTGCACGAATTTCTACCAATTTTGAGTAAAAACAGCAAAATTCTAATCCAGCGGCTTGGTGAAATGCCCGAGGCAAAGTACGGAAAAGATTTCAATATCTTTGAAAGCGTGTCGCTATGTGCATTGGACATAATTTGTGGTAAGTTTTAAATTATTGGTGTTATCAATCAAGATTGTGCTAACAGATATCTGCAGAAAGTTCGATGGGCACCGCAATCAATGCACAACAAAGCTCTCAATCACCTTACGTGCAAGCAGTTAATAGGTGACTGTGCGACAACTGCGACAACATAATTATATAATTCTTTGTTTCATTCTTCGTTTACGTAGGCTAAACCATCTTCTAGCAAAAAAATATTTCACACCCATTCAAAGGTTCAAGCTGTACTACAACTTTTCAACGGCCAAGAAAGAATTGGAAGAGCAGCTGAAAATTTCCAACGAATTCACTGACAAAGTTGGAAATAATATTTTATTAAAAAGAAATTCGAGAAATTATAGTAAAAATATTTAATAGGTCATAAATGAAAGGAGACAGTATCTGAAATCGCTCGACGAGAAAGGCGAGGGCAAAAATGGGACGGTGGAAAAAAGAAAACACCTGGCTTTTCTTGACATGCTCTTGCGAGCCCAGCAGAAAGGCGAAAAGTACATGACCGACAAAGACCTGAGGGACCAAGTTAGCACTTTCATGTTCGAAGTTGGTTCATCAAAATCTAACATTTTTCCTAGAATTAATCAGTAAAATAAATTCAGGGTCACGACACAGTCACTACTGGCACCTGTTGGGCCCTTTTCATGATGGGTACCCACCCTGAGATCCAAGAGCAGGTGGTCGAGGAGCTGGACCAAGTTTTCGGCGACTCAGGACGCGAACCGACCATGAGCGACTTGGCCGAGTTAAAGCTGCTCGAAAGGTGCATCAAGGAATCCCTGAGGCTCTACCCGAGTGTGCCCTTTTATGAACGACACATCCGTGAAGACGCGATAATGGATGGTTAGAAATAAAAATTTTAGTGCTATAAAAAAATTAAGATTTTTTTCCAGATGGAACTGTCATTCCTGCTGGTTGCAGTGTCGGTTTCTCCGTCTACCGCATTCATAGAGACCCTGAGCAGTTCCCAGACCCTGAAACTTTCAACCCTGACAGATTCCTGCCAGAAAACTCCTTGGGGCGCCACCCCTATGCCTACCTCCCGTTCAGTGCTGGACCGAGAAACTGTATAGGTGCATATTATTTTGATCGCAAAATAATTTAAAATTAATGGTTATTTTTTTAAGGACAAAAATTTGCTTTGATGGAGGAAAAGGTAGTGATTTCGACTGTTTTACGTAAATTCAGGGTTGAGGCTGCTCACAAACCTGAAGATGCAGAGCTGCAGGTACCCTAATACCTTATACATTGAGATATGCAAACTTTATTCTGATTTTTTTAGATGGCTCTGGTTCTGAGACCCAAAAATGGACTAAGAATAAGGATTTTTGAAAGGTCGTCACACCCTAAACTGGCAGTTAGAGAGTAAATTTATACACAAGCAAAATTGCTCAAAATGTAAAATGATAAAGAAAAACAGCAAGTGAAAAAAGGCAGAAGTTATATTTTTTACGCTACTTTTTTGTCACGTTGCTGAGGTGTTTATCTCTTATTTGAAAGTTTTAAATAATTTTTAATCAATAAAAAACTACTCTCAACTCAATGTTATCCATTTTATGAGTGCTTTTTAAAGAGCTTTTAAAGAGTTTTGACAAGATCGAACAACATTGACGCACCCCCGTATTGCAACGTGCTTGACTTCAATGTTGAGCATGTTGCCTATATGTGACCACTGTTGTTAACAAATAGGGCACGTCGCTCAATAATTTAAAAAATAGAAAAAAATACAAGGCTCTATTAGAATAGAATGATAAAACAATAGTTTGTAAACAACCAATTAGTAGAAATTTGACTTTTAGACTGATACTGTTTTATAACTTTGAAAAATACTTTAATTAAATTGATTGATTGATTCAAGATATAATCCCTGATGTATTTATGTCTCTTACGGAACGAACAAGCGTGTTTGAACCCTATCAATACAAAAAGGGTGCAGAGAAAACATTGCTATGAGATAAGAACTTTTCATAATATTTTTTAGTCTTATCGAACGCCGTTTCAGCGTATAAAAACCGCAAACTCTGATCACTGTAAGTAAAACTTTGATAGGTCTTGAGAGGGCAAAATGGAATTGACGTCTGCAGCGTCCTGGTTGTGGCCCCTGATCAGAAATGTTCTGCTCTTCGTCGTACCTGCCGCCTACTTGTGGCGCAAATCCGTCAAAAGGCTGAAGTTTAGCGCCATCGTGGACAAAATTCCTGGCCCAAGAGCATGGCCTTTCATAGGAAATGCGCCCCTAATGCTTGGTCACGACTTAACAGGTTTGAGTAATAAATTACGTTGTTATGAATTTTACTGCTTTTAATTTACTTTATTTTCTTAATTCCAATTGAATTTTTTCAAAGAATTTTTCCAATATGTGTGTACAAATGTGGTGGAGGAGTATGGACGGTTGGTACGTTTTTGGGTCGTCAACAAGCCACAAGTAATTATCACCAAGGCGAGCGATGCAGAGAAAATTCTGCAGGGAATGCAGCATCACGTTAAAAGTGAAAACTATCGCATTTTACACGGTTGGATGGGCGATGGACTACTAACTTCAAAAGGTTGTAGACATAATTTGGAAATTATAGAGTTTAATTTTGGTGATTTAGATGAAAAGTGGCGGGCGCACAGGAAAATTTTGACACCAGCATTCCACTTCAACATTCTGCATGAGTTTCTTCCGATTTTAAACAAAAACAGCAAAATTATGGTTGAAAAACTGAGCCAAAGTTCTGAATTTAAAACGGGAAAAGATTTTAACATTTTTGACAGCGTCTCTCTTTGCGCTCTGGACATTATTTGCGGTATGTGCATTGACCGTTGCACTTTTCTGATATTATCAGATCAGCACCTTTTTTTCAGAAAGTTCAATGGGTACAGTGATAAATGCACAGAGTCACTCCAATTCACCTTACGTTCAAGCGGTAAACAGGCAAGTCATAATATTTTGAATTTTTATCTCCATTGTACGTTGATTTAAATCATGCCTTTTGAGATTAAGTAATTATGCTCGAAGGACTAAATTAATATTTCTTTTTTTTACAAAAGGCTCAACACGCTATTAACCGCTCGTTATTTTTCGCCCTTTTTGCGGTTTGACTGGATATTCAAGTTTTCCAGCATGAAAAGAGATATCGATCAGCAATTGAAAATATCTGATGATTTTACAGACAGGGTAGGATTTTTTGAATATTTGTATTCTAAGCAATGATGAAAAAATAGGTTATTCTTGAGAGAAAGAAGTACCTTAATTCGCTCAAAAGTGACGATGCTAGAATCGAAAAGGGGGACAAGAAGAAAAATCTTGCTTTTCTTGACATGTTGCTGAAGGCACAGGACGAAGGTGGACAATTCTTGACTCACAAAGACTTGCAAGACCAAGTCAGCACATTCATGTTCGAGGTTTTCAGAAAATAAATAAGTGATGACAAAATAAAGGAAAACTAAAAATGCAGGGTCACGACACGGTGACAACTGCCACCTCCTGGGCCTTATTCATGATGGGCACACACCCTGATATCCAGGAAAAAGTGATCGAAGAGTTGGACCGTGTTTTCGGTGTCTCAGGGCGGGCACCGACGATGAACGACCTGACAGAGCTGAAGCTGCTCGAAAGGTGCATCAAAGAGTCCCTCAGACTTTACCCAAGCGTGCCCTTTTTTGAAAGGTGCATCCGCGAAGATGCAATCCTCCATGGTATCGGAACTTTTCAAAAAAATTTCTGATTCAAAATTTTGTATATGTTCTAATAATTGCAGATGGAACAATAATTCCTGCCGGGTGCGACGTCTCTTTCATTGCATATAGGATTCATCGAGACCCGGAGTACTTCCCTGACCCGGAAAAGTTTGACCCTGATAGATTTTTGCCTGAAAACTCCCAAGGCAGACATCCATACGCCTATCTACCATTCAGTGCAGGCCCACGGAACTGCATTGGTATGAAGACGAAAAAATGATTTCGTAATTTTTAATTGTTTACGGATATTATTTAAAGGGCAAAAATTTGCTCTGATGGAAGAAAAGGTTGTGATTTCAACTGTTCTCCGCAAATTCAGGGTTGAAGCTGCTCACTCGCCAGAAGAAGCAGAACTTCAGGTATTTAAGTTTTGACAATTGTGCCCGATTTAATAGATAATTTAAGTATGATTTATATGATAATGCTGATTAACATTTTTCTAACTCCAAACAGGTCTCAATAGTTCTCAAACCAAAGAACGGGTTACGCGTGAGATTACTTGAGAGGTCATCCCATCCCAATCTTCATGTGCAGAAAAGCTGATTAATTGATTTCGCACAGCTTATTTTTAAATAAAAAAGGGCATTCCAAATTGCAGATATTCTGCATCTATAAGTGACCGAGTGAATAATTAAAGCTCCTAGTTAGTACTTTCCCGACTTGGATAGCACACTTGGTTTACACACATTAAAAGTAACGGAAGGCGCTCTCGCCACCCTTAAATGACTATTGAATGTTTGCTTTAAAATGAATTGGTCTCATAAAAACTATTTTAGATATATTGAATTTGCCATGTATTGCGTATTATTATTGTTTTAATTTAGTATTAGGGTCTTAAATTTAGTAAACTAAGTAAATTTTAATGAAAGATTGTATTTTCTTATAAATTGGGATTCATTTTAAGTAATAAAATTGATTATGTGAAATAGTTAAATTACTTTGATTATTTTTTTTCTAAACGTAAGAAACAAACACGATTCAATATTAATATACAAAAAGAGAAGTCTTTCAAATCACAGACAGAATAATATATCTTACTGCGTAATAAATATGCAGAGAGCACCCTAAGTTATAGAAAATTTTGATCATCTAACCTTTAAACAGAAGAATATTCATTTGTCTGCAAAACATATTCCTCCGTCATCTTTGTCCACTGCAAACTGCGATGCCAAAGAGCATCAGCATTGGTATCGTTCATGCAAAAATCACTTGGCCACTCTTCTTTACAATCTCTGAATTTAAGAAAAATATCGTTAGTTAAGCAATATTAGTGTCTGCTAGTGGTCGACTTACCTGATATAACATCCATTAGCAGGCTGAGGACAAATAATTGCATGGAGAACACTCTGCGCCCCCTGGACAGGTCTTTTGACAGTCAGAAATCTGATGGGCCACAACAAAATCTTGAGCAGAGGGTTACTCAGCAAAGGGAAGTTCCGAAAAATCTTCGTCTCCACATTTCCAGGATCAACATTGACTGCGGACACACCATCAACGGTTGACGCCAGTTTGAGCGTCAAGAGATTCAAGCAGGCTTTCGAGTGGCCATAAACTTCAAACAGACCAGCCTGCTTGGGGATGTCTAAACTTGAGCAAAGTTTGTGGGCCTCAGAAGAGACATTTACAATTCGCCCGTTCTTGGCCATACTCGGTAGCATTTTCAGCGTCAAAAGAAACGGTCCTAAAAATATAGATTATTAAACAGATAATTTACATGGTTATAATGAAAAATACCCAAGTAATTTGTTTGGAAAGTGACATCAAACCCATCAGCAGTTGTTTGCAGAGGAAGGTAAAAAACCGCAGCATTATTTACAAGCGAGTAAATATCAAATTCACCTGGAACATTTTAATTAAAAATTGAGTTCCCCAGCTAAATTAATTTTGATATTTTACATTCTGAAAGAAGGCCGCAGAACTCGTTGATGCTCTTGAAATTTGTGAGGTCGAGAGGCAGAGCATAAACCCCTTCGTTATGAGTTTCTTTGGTTATTTCGTCAACCACAGCCCATGCAGCTTTCATGTCTCGACAGGCCAAAATTACTTGGGCGCCTAAAAAATAATTCAAATGAATGAGCATAAATAAAATTTGAGCTATTATTGAAAACAGCCCAATATTATAAGATGGTGAAAATATAAACCTCTTTTAGCTACTTCCAGAGCTAAAGCTTTCCCGATTCCACTTGTAGCACCTGTGATAACAACAGCTTTGCAGTCCAATCTTTGGTTGCACCGGCAATTCATGCCTCCAAAGTAACGCCTATGAATGAAATCATCAATTATTTTGTCATAAAAAAAGCAATATAAAGTAATTTTTTGTGATCATTAAACATACTTAAGTGAAAAAGCAGCTGCTGCGGCAAGTGTGAACAAACTGGACCAAAATAATTTTGACATATTTTTCTCCGTGTCCGACAAAAAAGATATTTGACGCATACGCATGTGGAATAAATTAATTATTGTGTTTACAGTTCAACTTAACAACATTATGCGCAGCTAAAAATATACAAAAAAAGTGCTGATTGGGTCAGTGTACAGTGTACATATTTAACTAGAGTGCATAAACAAATTCTAAACAAAGAGAACAATGAGAAGCGCAGGCAGAAAAACTTGAGAAAAACAAAACAACAAAGTAACTTTACTGGCGAGTTCCTCCTTGGGCGAGTTCGGCGAGTTCAGTGCAACTTTTAACACATGCACCACCTATTAGTGGCTAATCCAACTAAAAACCAATATTCATTGGTTGAAAGCAAAGTAAAGAGTGACAGGCAGCGACACGTGTGAAAAATCACAAATCAAACAGCCTTTAGACTGCTTAGACATTTTATGAAGAGGACAGAAGAGGATCCTTGCGGCTTGCACTTGCAATTCCTTTCCTTGCGCCGCTCGCGCGATTATAGAACTTCTTGCAGATTATAGATGTGATGATCAGAGTAAGTAGACATGCATAACATGTATTTTTTGTATATTTTATGTGTATGCGAATACGTAACGCACATTTTGTGTTTTGTGATAGATATAAAAATGTAAAAGCCGCCATTTAGTATTATTTTATGCCATGAAATAATTTGAGGAATTCGCGCAGCATTTTACTGCGTCGGCCAAAACGGGTGCGATTTTTTGCTTGTCTGTGCCTGTTTGTGTTTGAGTTTGTCACGAGGCCGTGCGCAAATGCGCAGGCAGGAATTCCAATCCTCCATCCAAAGTCATACATTTTTTTCCATCTCCACTTCATTTCATTGCATTATTTGCAATCTTGTTCTGATTTTACTGTACCAGACCAGAGCGACGCCACCCGATCGAGTGATTATTACTCAACACGTAAGCTACGCAAAAAGGCTCAAAATTCTTTTTCTTTCAAGGCAGTAGATTAATAGATTTTGCTGGAAACATACAGAAAATACGTGTTTGTATGCATAAAATGTACACGATAGGTATGGGGCTAGTTTAATGTAGATGTAATTGGATGTAATCATGTGCAATTGTGCACATATTATGCGTATTATGATTTTTAGTAATAATGTACTGAAAATTTCGGAAATAATATAAAACTATTTTTATGCGAGCGTTTATGCGCTTATTAATCGATTGCGGGTTTTTGCCTTTTTCCAGTCCTTTCCTCCTTCCTTTTTTTCTCTGTACCCCTGTACCCTGCTGATAAAATTGCGAAATGATGCTTTATACGGCTTTATAGTTTTCCCCGTTTTCATATTACCTTTAATTAATTAAAATTATTATTTTTCATTTATAGCGCCCAAGACCTCATGGAGTTTAATGTATATGTATAATTCTCATTTTTCACTGCAGGCAAAACAATCAAACAATTTTGATTATATAGATTACGTAATTTACCTTCCTTTTTTCCAAATTTTGTGTCAAAATCAACAATTTAAAATTTCATTGATGCATGATGCATCTTAAAAAGGTTAAAAATATTAGCTGCATTATATAATCGATATAATCACATAAATTATTTAAATAATAATGTTACATAAATATTGTAAATGAAGAAGCATTTCTGAGAATTTCCTCATCTGCAGGTTACGCTGAAATTAAGCTGAGCAAAAAAATGATCTCAACAAAGCAACAACCACTATCACCTGCCAAGGCTGTGAATATGGAGGTATATAATTATTTTTATTATATTAAATTACTGGTTTTTTTGTCGCACTCTTCTGATGAATCTTTTAAGGAATTTTTAATATGCCTTAAAAAACTACTTATCATTTTTTTTTTGCATAATGTCCATTCAGGTTGGATCAGTTCAAAATGTTGTCAGAAAGCTTCAGTTTACTGAAGAAGCCAGCATGACTGGGGGACTGAAAGAGAAATTGCCAGCGGCTTATTCTGTCCCTAAAAATAAGGAGAACCTCCTCCCAAACTCTCCTGCCAAGTCGAAGCCTCAGCTCATGTTTCATGATGATGCTCAGGTATGCATATAATTTAAGGCTTATCCACAATGGGGCTATTTGTACTCGGTAGCTGGCGGTAGCTGGCTGCAATGCTTCTCTCAAAGGACCCGCTTCCGCCAGCTAGCACTTATTTAGTGTTATTGCTGGACCAACCTAGAGTATTTATTCTCAACCATATATTATGCTCTTAAAAATTTAAAACATGTGATTTTTAGTTGAGCAATGATAAGGAAAAAACAGACAAAGTGAAGCTGACAGCAGAAGAAGAGTTGCAGTTGCGCAAATTGCAAGAAGAGGAACTGGAGAGGCAGAGAAAGCACGAAGAGAAACTTAGAAAAGCCAAGGTAAAGTTCAAGTAAAATTAATTATTAAAACTAAATAAAAAACTTTCATTTTGAAAATTATAATATCCAAGGAAAAACAGGAGAAAGAAGAAACTGATCTTAGGCTGAAAAGACTGGCCAAGTTGCTCAAAGAGAGCGAGTTCTTTTCTAGCAGCATTGCAAAAAAGATCGAAGAGCAACAGAAACCAATCCCAAAAAGACAAGGAAGGAAGAGCAAGACAGAGCAATTGCTGAAGGATAAGGTAGTATAAAATGAAAATAATAATAATAAAAGTTGGAATAAAAACTAATCTGTAATTTTTAAAGGCCTTACTTGATGCCAGAGATGCTGGTGGAGAAGCTTCCCCTGAGGAGAAAGAAGGAAAAGACAAGTCAGAATCTATTGGTACCAAGCTAACTTCGATGGGCATTGAGGTCTCCATAAAGCAGCCATATTTGCTGGAAGGTGGTTGTATGAGAGATTACCAGATCAAGGGATTCGAGTGGATGAAGGTTATTTTAATAAAAATTTTGTTTTGAGCGGTTTTGAGTATCCATTTTTACTAATTTAAGGTTCTGGCTGATAATGGAGTGGGTGGAATTTTGGCTGATGAAATGGGTCTGGGCAAAACTATTCAAACCATTGCCCTAATTTGCTCCATGATTGAGAAAAAGGCCAAAGGACCGTTCCTTGTTATTGCTCCGCTTTCAACTCTGGCCAACTGGATCAGCGAGTTCAGCAATTTTGCTCCAAGAGTAAGTTTTTTTATTTCTAATAAACTAAATTTGTGCTTACACAAATATCTATCTATATTTAACAGGTGCCAGTGGTGATGTTCCATGGCAATCTCAAAGAGAGAACCGACATGGTTAAAGAGCTTACCAAAATCCACACTGTCAAGTGTGACAGTTTTGTGACCAAAACTCTGCCAGTGGTTGTTACTTCATATGAAATTGCTTGGATGGACAAATCTTTACAGAAAATCAAGAACTGGGACATAGTGGTTTTAGACGAAGGGCATAGAATCAAAAATATGGAGTGCAGAACTGGCAGGTAAATGATTTTTATTCAATCATTAGTCAAACTTTATGTGTGCATTAAATTGCTAAAAATGTGTCATATCATATATCTTTTAATTAATAGAGAAGTAAGGAACATTAGAAGCAAATGCCGTTTGCTGCTTACTGGCACACCTCTGCAAAACAACTTGAAGGAGCTCTGGAGCCTGTTAAACTATCTTGTTCCTGATGTATTTGCTGACCTCTCTGCATTTGAGGATTGGTTCAAAGTGAGAGACTTGTGTGAGGAGTATGGTGACAAAACCGAGGCCAACAATAGAATTGTTGAAATGGAAAAGAACAATCAAGTCATTGCCAAACTCCACAAAGTATTTTTCAAATTCAAATATTTTAGTCAATTTATTTTATATATGAATTTACAGATCCTGAAGCCTTTCATGCTTCGTAGAACAAAAGCTGATGTGGAGCTGGGACTGCCACCAAAGAGAGAGATCTTGGTTTTCACCCCTATGACTGCCATGCAGAAAGAACTCTACGAGCTCATTCTACACAAGAAAATTCATGCTCACCTGCTCGAGGAAAAGGTTAATTGTTATAAATATATAATTTATGATTCAATTTACTCACATACAACTTAATTTAGAGAAACAAAGTAACAATTGACTTGAATGACGACCTTCCTATTGCCTGTAGACTCCGAGACAGACAGCTGACGAAGGGCTATAATTTTGACAAAATGTCCTTTGAAGAATTGTTAGTTTTTATTTATTTTTTATCTTCAATTATCTTGATAAAATGCTTTGATTCACATACATTTTTAGTGAAGTTATGTATAATGCCAACTTAAAAAGCCATGAAGTGGAATCAAAATCAACTATGTCTTCCTTCATGGTGAACTGTATCAAGTTAGGCAAAATTACAAGCATTAACCCTAGTGCTGCCAAAGTTGATTTGAGGAAAGTTGTCAACCACCCTTACCTCATTCAAATGCCACTCATTCCTGGTACGAAGGAGCCACTGATTGACGAAGACTTGATTCAAAGTGCCGGCAAAATGCTAGTTCTCGATGCAATGCTGGCCAAATTGAAGGAAAGGGGTCACAAGGTATTTAATTTAATTTTGACCTGATTGAAAACTGTAATTAAATTTTTTTTGCTTTGAAAATTGATGTTTTTTTCCGACAAGTTAAACGTTTCATTATTCATTTGAGCAGCGCACAAACCAATTAACTGCACAAAAATATCTCCAAGTCTATGTTCATGTGTTGCCCGCAGAACACGTCAAGTGTCATACATATACTGCTAAATGAATAATGTCCGAATATATTTCTCTAGGTCTTGATCTTCTCCCAGTGGACCTCTGTCCTAGACTGCATTGAAGATTTTATGTTGATGAAGCATCACACTTACTGTCGTCTGGATGGAACAACTGCTGTTTCTGATCGTGTGGAAAGAATTGCTAAATTCAACACTGACCCCAGCATTTTTGCCTTTCTCCTCACCACAAGGGCTGGAGGACTCGGCATCAATCTCACTTCTGCAGACACTGTCATCATTTATGATAGCGATTGGGTATGCCGCACATGCTTCATTTCTCTTCTCAGATTTATAATTGATTCTAATTGTTTAAATATTTTATTTCTCAGAACCCTCAATGCGACATTCAAGCCCAAGATCGCTGCCATCGCATTGGGCAGACCAAACCAGTTGTGGTGTACAGATTGACTGCTGATGGCACTATTGATCGGCGTATGCTTGAGCGAGCCACTGGAAAACGTCGTCTGGAGAAAATCATCATGCAGAAGGGCCAATTCACAGGAAAAGGGAAGAGTTTTGATCTGAAAGGCGAGTTTTCTCCAGAGGAGTTGCTCAAACTACTTAACTCACAAGATTTCAGCAGCAAAGTTCAGTCAAATGGATATGGTAATTATAAGCTATATTTATGAATCTCCATTCAACACAAAATCTTTTGCATCACTCAATACGTAACACTGAAAATACATATTGTGAAGAATGCTGGCTGGAGGGATAAATGGAGAAATGGCTTTTTGCTAGCAAACACCGGCCGCTAGAGTCATTGGTCAGGGGGACTACGTGTTAAGTTTTTGCCACGGATACGCCTTCCACAGCGGTGGAAACTGTGCCGCAGTACAGTCCCGTAAGGCGGGTGGCGTGTCATTGCACGGTTTGACAACGCGGTAAGAGAAATCGCCTCGCGTCCAAATTTTGCTTTTGCGGGCGGCTGTAGAACCCGTAGTTATGCGCGCTCTTGCTTCAAAGTCTGTCACGCCGTGGTCACTTTGAAAAATAAATAAAAAGTCGGTGTACACAAAAGCTGTATTTTGACGGGCATAATATGACCTTCTTGCTCCTTTACTGGCAGAAATGAAATTATTTTTAATAAATCTTAATTCTGTATTGCTATATTTATTTTTATATTAATGTAAAAATTTCAATTTCAGTGTTTACGGATGAGGAGTTGGATAAGCTGCTTGACAGGAGTGATATGATGGGCCAGAGCATGCCTGTGTCTCCTGTCAAGAAAAAATCAAAGATGTTTTCCCCTGATGCTGAGAAAAAGGAAATTTTCAAAATGGTCGAGTAATTTTTACTCCTCTGCTGAGTAACCCTTTACATGGTGTCCACTGTCCCTATTCTTTTTCAATTCACACAAAATTTTCTGTGCTTTTGGTAAAAATTTTATTTAAAAAAAATAAGAATGTAATAAAAGGATTTCTGTACTGGAAGTTGTAAAGGGTATGAAATAAGAATTACTCACTATTTCTGTTCTAAATAAAAAGCTTCAAGTAATTGTTGTGCTGCCTCTCTATTGATGATGAATGCATTTCAAACTTAATTAATATGATCATCATAAAATAAAATGATAAGCATAACTTTTTATTGTTTAATTCACGTTTCATACTGAAAAGATAAAAAAAAAAGATTTGAGGACGAGCAGAAAGGGTAACAAATATCCAGGTTGGCTAATAATGCCCAGAATTAAGAGAATCTGCACATAACCTATAATATGCAACTTTATTATCCCAGGTAAAGCAGCCCAAGACTTTAGCCATATAAGGTCCTTAATAGTAGGTCAATAGTTTTATTTAATTAAGATGTTTTAGAGTTGTCCAATGGGAACGGGAAAATTATTAACCCCCGGTGAGACTATGGGAAATAAAATCATTCTATTAAGCAGGAAAGGTATTGCCAGGAACTGTACAGACCTGGGGGACCAGGTAGCCGATGAAAAATTGTTTGCACCACCAACATATTTTTTAGCAACATGCAAAAAATGTCTTTTGCGAGCATTAATTCGCTTGTCTGTATATATATAAAAAAATGTTTAAATATATCAAACTCTGGTTTCTGGACAAACACATACATGAATTTTGCATTGTAATAAATGAAAATACTTTGCTCTCATTTCAGTATATGATCGAATGATTGAAGAGATTTTATTCAATTTAATTCAAATTCAAAACGTGCTTTGACACCACCGTACACAACATTAAGAGTGCCGATTTTCATTAAAAAATATTCTTGTAAGCCCCCTAATTATTATCATGCTTTACACAGAGTTGAAAATTGAAACTTTCTATGGTCTAGAGCAATGATTGCTTCTCCTCAAATTGTAATAGTTTTGACAAAAATCCTAACCTAGCCTAAAGGATCATACATGTCACAGTTTTCATTCTTGGGTGATGTAAACTCTTCAATTTCATCAGGTAGTTCTAAATCGTCTGGCAAAGGTACCTGTCCGACAATGCCTCGACCATAGCCAAGCCTCTGCTTAGTCAGCCCTATACCAAAAATTAAAATTATTAGAAAATTTAAAATGATAATTTTTGTCAACCATAAGCAATGAGATGCTTACATTTAGAATTTGAGACTCCTTCCTCTTCTTCACTGTCTGCTGCACTTTCCACTATTTCTGGGGTCAGCAAAGCACTCTCGACGGCTCTCTCAGCTCTTGGCCATGCCACATCTGCGGTGTTTTATATTTTTAATTGTTTGACTTTGGAGTGTAAATTATAATTTTAAAAAATTGATTACAATCAATCAGTTTTAAACTTATACACTTTTAATAAAATTTTGTTTTACTTTTTATTAAAGTTAATTTAAACAGGAATTAAAGGTTCAAGGTGATTTTCAAGCATACCTAATGACTTCCTCAATTTGATCTCAACACAGCGGCCTCGAGAACAGTGCTGGCTATCATTGGGCAAAACATAACCAAAGAGGAGCATGTTGAAGCAATAGGCACGGCCTTGACAGTAGCACCTAAAATTCGCTATAGTAGAAAAATTAAAAATAAGAAACCTTAACGAACTAACGCAAAATCTAGGCGCTCTGGAGTTATCCTGAGGTAATAGTCTTGGACATCGATAAGCTGGACACGCAGCCGAATCCACTGGGCTGTTTGGCTCCATAGAATGTGCGAGTCATAGCAAGTCGAAATCAGCCGCGGCCCTTCATGCTTTTGTTGCACTTCTTTCTTTGAAGCAACAGCTTCCACGTATTTCACCTTTGGTACAACAGCTTCTGGTTTTCCTTGAGGCTGTGGTATAGGTGCAGAAAACTTTTTCAGACGCTCAAGTTGTTCCTAACAAAGTTAATATGCACATTTTATGAAGTATATGTAATTATCACGTAAGAACTTGTAAAAATGCATTTTTGCATTTTAAATGGCTTCAGCATGTTAAATATACAAAATGAAAACCTTCTCAAATTTGAATTCTGAAAATAGACTAGTAAGCTCCTCAATGTCTAATTCAGATAATTCATCTGGAAGATCATCTGCAAAAATTTAAATGTTACAAAATAATTGCTTTTTGCTTTCGATTTTGTTCTACCAAAAATGGACTCATCGTCACTTCTAGATGACGATTCCTCTAATAAATGGTTTTTGCCATGCTCGTCTGTGTCAGCTTCAAACTCATTATCAAAACTAGCAAGGGCTATTTTTGGATTATCTGTGTCAACTTCTCTCAGAACTTCATCACGAAGTCGAACACTGTAGCACCATCCACGTGTCACTTGGCTCTTGGTCTTATCCAAAACCTGTCAACAGGTGAGAAAGCTCATAGAAAATCAGATAAAAATTTGTATTTTGTATGAAGCTATGTTATACCTCAATACTGATGGTCTTTTGGTTATTTCGAAGAATTTTACCCAATCCCTGTTCATCCACTTTTGGATTTTTCTCCAAAACACACTCAATTGCCTGTAAAATCTTCTTCAGTGGAAAATCTAATTTTAAGCTCTTTATTATAAAACCTGGCAGGGCAGTTGTCGGAGCAACTGTGATGGAAGAGGCAAAGTTAGGCGCAACTTGACAAGATCCTCACAGCCGACATCTACAAAGAAGCACAAAAACTCCTGCTCCGAAGCTTTGCTCCTAATCTGTGCTCGGTGCCAACTATTTAAAAAGTTATATAAAATTATTGTAAAGTATGGCTAGCATACGTGTGGTCACGTGGGTTCTTGGCAAGAATGAAAGTTCCTTCGTCATTGGGTGTCGATTTCCAAGCCATCTTTTCCTGTTTATTCTGGTGCTCAGCTAAGCGGTCCAGTAGGTGATCCAATCTGTGCGTAAAAATTGATAGATCCACGAGACTTGAAGATATATTGCAACTGACAAATCACTGAACTCAGCAGGCTGCACAAAAACCTTATTTAAGGACTCATGAATAAATGACACTCTGACTTCTGACAAACTCCCACAGGTTAGAAAGGCCCAGTCGGCGCAAATGCTTTCCTTGCCATCTGCTGGCACTTTTGTAATTTGTTTGATCTCTGCGAAGGGAAAAAAATTTAGTAATAAATAAGGACAAAAAATACAGGCCAATATTATTCTCTCTATAAGAAAAAAAAAAATGATCACCAATTTTTGGGGGCGCTGGCAAATCAATGTTTGCCTGCATACAGAGGTTCCTCAGATTACTCAAGTGTTTTACATTCTTGTCAGCTACATGGCTCTGAACAAGACGGGCGCCAAATGAAAAGATTCCGACTGGAACAGCGCTCTCAAGGACACACTCAAGAGGTTGAAGCCACAGATTATCAGCAAGGCATAAAGCAATCTAAATCAAAGCAAAAATGAAATAAAAATAATTGATCTTTTTCAATGTTTGAATTCAAAATTTATGTTGAATAATTATTGTCAAAAATTTTTATATCAAAAATTGATAATCAACCTTTTAAATTAAATACTCATTAAATTTTATTACCTTTCCTCGAAGTGAATATTGGCTGGAAGATGATGCGTTTTGAAGCCAAGTAGCAGTCAGCTTGGTGGCGTTAGAGCCCCATTCGGCTTGCTCCTGTTTTGGAGCCACATTGCTGATATACACATCAACAACACTCTGAGGTACATCACGCAAAACCTTTGGCAGGAATAGCAGTTGAGACACCTAAAATGTCACATATTAAATTACTTAATTTTATTCAACATTGTTGCAAGTAAAAATTAGCTTACATTGCATACTTGTCGCCAGCCAAGTTCAAGCGACTTGACCTTGACCTCCAGTGGCTCCCGATTTATATTGCTCATGGCCATCACACTTTCAATTCGTACACGTTGGAAGACATCTGGTGCCGACTCAAATGCACACACTAACCCTGGCTGAACACTACCCAGTTGATGTGTCCTGGAGATACACAGTAGAAATATCAGTGTTAAAATTCAACAGGATAATGTATATATACATTTTTACATAAAATCTTATAAAAAAATAAAAAACGGAAATATTGAAAAATATAGTTTTTAGAAGAGTATTCGTTTAGAAACAGGCAGCCTACTATACACTATATTATTGAATCTCAAATAAAATAAATTATTTATCAAATAAGCAGCAAAAGTTATTTAGGACTTAACCAGCTTTCTTTATTCATATATTGTAAGATCATACAATATAATATAATACAAAAAAATAAGGAAGATATTCAACTTTTTATGCTTTCTCAAAAATAAAAATCCATCTTTTATCATCATGGCTTTGTCATCAGGCGATGAACTTCTTTCTGACAAACTTGACACTCTTAGGCTTAGCAGAGTCCTGTGTCAGGGTGTCCGCCAGGGCGTCACTGAACAACTTGCTGTTGACCATTGGGAATGTTGGCACCTCACCAACTTCCTGCTTATCTTTGACCTCAGCAACTGGTTTGTAGATGCTTAATTGGCTGTCCTCTTGAGAGCAGTTCATATCCACCAATGTCTCTGTATTTCCTTCGGTTGAAACACTGCCTTTGGAGAAACTCATATGATGGCTTCTGTTTGGGGCATGTTGAGGACTTGGTAGGCCATTGTCCAGAACTCTACCTTCATCCTTACTATGTGTAAAAGAATGCACATTTGAGACATGACGACCTTCATTGCTTCTATTTTCATCCTCCTCTTCTCTTTGCAGATAATTCTGACCAGGGCGGTTTCCAAAACCTCCAGACGAGCTACCCTCATTAACTCTTGAAAATGGTTTGCCCAACTGACGGCAACTTTCAGATCTTTGCAGGCCAGCATATCTATCATTTGGAAAGTTTTCTTCCTCAAACGAACCTCTCATTCTTCTACGCAGGTCCCTTTCAGACCCCATGTTATTTGACTGCACAATCTTCTTACTTTGAAAAGTGAGCCTTAAACCTTTTTCAGGAGTCATGTTGTATACCCTGACAAGGAGGTCAGAGTCTGAAAGTTCTTTCTCAATTACATCCCGCACCATTGTCCACTGGAGACGGTCATTTCCACAGCAAATTCGTGGCATGGCAATCCTTGTGACCCCAAATTCAAGACACACTCGACGCAGCTCACGCAAACACCGACCCAGCGCCTGCAGGGTAGGCGTGCAGAAGCGTGACTTTGGCTTGGTCACTAGGCAGAAAATGTAGCGGCCGTCTGGCAGCAAAAGGTGGGCCACCTCGCCGACGTCACGCTGCTGCTGCAAAAGCTCCGAGACACCACCAAAGTGTTGTCGGAACTGTACTGCAATGCCTCCACTCATAAGCATGTCTTTGGCCACACAGTGCACCAGGGAGTCCTTGCATGAGAAAAGATTGCCCTCCAGCTCAAGCATAAGCAATCGGCCCTTACTCCGAAGCAGGCATTGATGACTCTCTTCACTGTCCCTGCGTTTGACACACATGCACATTTCACAAAAGCAAATAACTGTAAATTACATAAACCTAAAGCATATATAATAAATATCCCATGGAATATATATTAAATTTAAAGCCTCTGCAACTCACACACACTTCATATTTTCTATATAGCATACAAAATTTAATACCCTTGCTTTTAAGAAGACAGATTATAGAACAATTATTAAAAAGAAATTTAAAAATATAATAAATACTTTAATGTATAGAGATGTTAATGTAACTCAATAATAAAAGTAAATTGTACTTCTATATAGGTAAATAAAAAAATCCCCATGGCAAAAAAGCACCAAACAAATGCATAATTATTGTATTAACTGACCTTTTCTCAGCATCACTGAAGTACTCGCCCATGTCCATAGCTAGCAAGGCATGCTCATTGCCACTGTGTGTGGTAATCTGGTCCAGCTCATCCTTATGCTCCAAAATACGCGCCGAGATGTGAGTTGCGTCATGCACTTGCGCCACCTGCAGCTTGACTTCTCCCTGACTGCAAAATGTTTTATTTATTAGATAAAACACTATAAAACTAGCTTAAAACAGTTTACAATACATATATCAAACAATTTATTACATTGGCATAAATGGCGCAGGCTTGTCCGTCTCATTGAGTGAGTGGCGCTCGGCGCACAGATTGAAGTCAGCACATCTTCCAAATGCGCACACTTTAGGGCAAAGAATATGCAGGTGTCTGTCTTTCTCCATTTTTGCTCGCATTTCCTGCACAGAAAAAAAGGAATTAAAATGCAAATTAAAATAAAAAACATTGTTTAATATACAGCTGCACAATGAAATTTCCTTATAATTTACCTATTGCAATAGTTATTGAAATTAAATTACCTTCACTTTAGCTTCAAAGACTGCAGGAACATTGGCATTCATACGTTCTTGAAACTCCACCAACAACAGCAGTTGTTTCTCATTCTCATTTGCATCCAATAGCAAGTGTACCTCTGGCTTGTGCTGAGAAAAATGTGTAGGCAAATTAAATTGATTACAGCAATAGATCATTACAAAAAACAAAAATTGATAAGAGCAAATTACGTTGCTTGTTTTTTTTTTTATTTAACTTTCTTTGTCCTAGTTAAAAAAATTTTACTTAGTCGTAGAATCAATGAAAACTTGTGACCAAAAAAATTAATAGAAAAACTAAATAAATAATATTGTTTTTTAAAATTTCTGTATTGACTGAGAAGAATGAATAATAATAACATAATTACCATTCCATTCTGCAAGCTGTCCATAATTGCAGAGTGGCGAAGCATGAAACTGTGCTTGGATTTTGCCATAGAGAAGTGGACAATCATATCTGCATTTGAAATACAGAGGAAGGGCAATACATTGTCACAAGTAATCAAGAGAGGTTGACGCCCAGCCACCGTCATCTCATGCCACTGGTTCCTCCAGGCTATAATAGACAGCAAAAATAAATTATTGGTTTTTCAAAATATTAGAAATTGTGTTTTTAATCCTATTATACCGTTGACTTTGGCATTATTTTCAGTGCTGCTGGCCACAATGATAAGCTCTTCCAAAGAGCCGCCAAACGAAGAATGCAGTCGCTGTGTTTCTTCAAAGTCTCGGCAGCAAACAATAATTCTGCGCTCGCCAAGTCTAGCAGAGAGCAAGGTAGAAGCAAAACGAATTCGTTCTTCATGATCAGCTTCACTCGCATGCATTTTTGTAATGCAATGCATATGTGGACGGATATGTCCAAATGAAAGTAGCTCAAAGCCAGAAGCCACAATGGTCACAGGTGTGGCTAGCATGCTGCTAGTGGTGAATGCCTCTAGTTCTGGGGTCCACTGGCGAGCAGTTACCACCAGCTGAAGATTCTCCATGCTACCACTTTCCTCTTCACACAAGGCCAACATATTTTCCACCTAGAAATGTATATAGTTTAATTACTTTTTAAACCCCCATAAATTTAAAAACTCGTTTCACAATTGATGTAAGATTATGTTGAAACTTTTGATAAATATTATTATTGTTACTCCAATTTAATATATCTTTAATTTGAGACATTTATTTTTCCATACCTCTTTTTTGTACTGTACTAAAAGTATGTCTGCATCATCGAGCACAACAGTCTTGACTTTTGTTAGATCCAGTGCCATCCCTGAGCAGAACAATGCAACACTCTCAAAGGCAGGCATTGTGGTCACAAGTACATGACAACCATTCAGCAGGGAAAACTAAAATTGTGCTAAATATATTAAAAACACACTGACCCCAACATCTATTTTAAAAATCACAGCAGCTTTTCTTAGTTCCTCTTCACCGTTAATCATACAGATTTTAACCCTAGAGAAGTCAGATCTCCTAACAGGCTGCCTGTTGATGGTGGCATCAGTCACCAACTTTTTAAGCGAGTCTTCGAGTCCCTCGGCCTTTAAGGCCGACGAACAGACAATCAGCACGCTTGGACCAAACAAATTGAAATTCCTCTCCTAATTTGATAATCAAATTTTAAAATGTAATATATTCTTGTTCAGGAAGGAGCACTTACAGATCTGGGAATAGCCTGGTAAATGAGATAACTGGCAAGAGGTGCAGCAAATCCAAAGGTTTTTCCTGTTTCGTGACTGCCAATGGCCACAACACTGCGACCTCTTGCCACGGCACGCCACATGTACCTTTGGAGGTTTGTCGCAGCAACAAACCCACTTTTCTCAAGAGCCTGGATACAATTGTTCATATGAGCAAAGTAATTATTATTTTTTAAATAATTTAACTATCAAATATTCTGCTCCTATATATTGCAAGATATTCAAATAAAATTAACTCTTAAATTTTTATCAACCTTGAGGACATCTGTATGAAATGGTGCTGCACTGATCACAGAGATGGGCTTCTCCTGTTGGAAATTAAGAACCAGCACTGGCATATTCTTCGCGTTCACCAGAACATTGCAAAGCTTGTTGCTTTTTTGACAGAAAAGTTGAATAAACAAAACAAAAATTTCTCTTTAAGCTTTATTAACTAACCTCTTATCTAGCCCATCCGTACTGAAGATGTCAGCAAATTGCTTTGAAAGCTCAGACACATCATCATCAAGTGCAAGGGCCTCTTGGGCCTTGCACTCTGCCTGTTGCCGTCGTCTCAACTTACTTGGACCCCAGCTGAATTCAGAGCTGTCCTGCTGGGTCTGCTGCTCCTCAAGCTCTGTCATCCTGAGAAAGACCTCTCGATACTTGGCCATATTAAGTGTAGGCTTGTTGACCTGGTCAGCATCAGCACCCTTCCGAGGAAGACGAGCTGCCATTGGCACGAAGTGAGGGGCAGGTTCAGCAAGGAGCTTTTGTTTCTCCACGGTGTTCTAAAAAATGGTTATGTATTTTCTTAAAATTAACTCAAAAGTTCAAAATTTGCGTAAACCATTATAATTGGTCTCTATTAAGCTATATAATTATTATAGTTAATATGTAACAAAATGTGCATTGTTAGATTTTATAAAGTATTTGAAAGAGGTTAATTATTTTTATGCACATAAATATATAATAGGATATTGTTTTTTCATATTGTAAAACTTACAGCAGGAATATTGAGGACGTCTATCCCACGGAAGCCTTCCTTAAGATCTTCCAGTAGACTCTTGACACCATTCTCATGCTCTGTAAAAAATTAATACAAATTACAGACCCAAATTACTTTTAAGTATAATATATTGAATTTACCCTTTTCAAACTGATCAGCATTGTAGAGCGCATATTTTCTGTCATGGATGTATTTGTTGACAGATTGCGACTCCCTGTTTGAGCCATGCACATACAATTCACCCAATATGTGCTGTTCCTTGCTCCTCAGAGGCACAAATGTGAGGAATATGCCTGCGTCTAGTAACTGCCGCACTTGGCCCTCCACTACTGGCAACCACGTTTCAGACCTCCTGAATGAAGTAAAATTCTTTTTTATTAAAATGTATCAAAATACATTAAAAATATAAAGCAGAACACCAAAACAAGAGATACTGTCTCTTTAAATGCCCACTTTTGAAAAATTTTTTAATTAAAACAGCAAAAAATACAAAATATTAAGTTTAAGCTTGAAGCCTTAACTGCACAATATAAATATAAGAAAGTTAACAAAATTTTGTCTGCCTGGACTAAAAAAAGTATTATTCCGTTTTCAAATAATAATAAGTCTTCAAATATGTTGCTGACCAAACCCGCTGAGTTGACTGAATGCTTTCAGTCAACTCGGTACGTTTGGTCAACGACATTATATAGCTTTAAATTTACCGAGGCTCATATTTGTCAGTCTCTTCACAATGGATTATTTGCGCTGGCAAGAGTCCGTAAAGTTGGAACAGTTTGACCTGAGGCCACATGTCAAGAGCCCAGTCAGGCAAAGGACGCAACTTTGGTGCTTCAACTGACAAGTGATGGCCATAGTCGACAAGGAACACCTTCGCTTCAACGCCACCATTCTTCTTGATCAAACCAACCACCCTGCCGCGCACCCATGACTCGGATTGCTGCTCCCTCACTCCAACCAACTGAAAATCATAAAAATGGTCCAGAATTAAGAATTAGTAATATTTACTCTGTGATTAATTTTTGGTGTGGGAAAAAATACATGTATAAAGAGGGCAATAAAGTTTTATAGAACTGCAAATGTTAAAAATAGAATTTAACTTTTCTATTATCTTAGATAATATTGCTTTAATTTTTCCCATGAAATAAGTAAAAATTTGCAACAACAACAACAGCTTTAAATGAGCAGACCATTTTGGCGAAATTTGAGCAATTTTTCAGCAGGTTCAGGCAATTGTTTAAATTGATTGATCTCTGTCAGTTTTTCAAGAACAGAATCTATCCTACTACTTATCATTTGGCGTGTCGAGTAAATAAAAAAGTGTACAATGATTTCATAGTACTAACGTAAAAAAGAGCCAATATTTTCCATAATTCCGAAGGGGAAATTTCGGAATTAGTATTGTATTAACATTTAATTGGAGTGCATTGGAGTGCATGAAAATATTATGATGCGATTTTTTCATAGTGCATCAAGAAAAATTTATTTTACCATAAAATATTTCCTCATCCTCATCTGTATCACAATGTTTCAAAAATACATAACTTCTTTAGTCCACACAATTCGCGCATAATTGTGAAGAGAAAAGCAACTTATTTGTTCATAATTTCTACGCAATGTAAAAATTTATGCAGGTTGCAGAAACTAACTTTATTTCTTGAAAACAATCGCAAGACGGTGCTTTAAAATGTCAATTACACATTCCAAATCACGTAAGCCTCTTGTTGGAAGTGTAATAACCTAACGAAATCCTTAAATTTCAGGTAGGTCTCAATAGATCTCAATATGTGGCTTGTCAGCCGATATTTATAGTTTTCACTGGTTGTCAACATAGTGTAATTTCCAGTTAAATTCACAATAATTGTAATGTCAGAGCGTAATAAAGTAATTATAGCAAATAGTGATTAATTTTCAAGCGCAGCAATAAAAAAATGAATTTTACAGAGTGCAACTTAAAAATTTTGGAAGAAATAATTACAAAATATTACAGACATTATATTTCGTCAAAAAATATTGAACGAAAAATAATGGTTCAGTGTTCAATAAATCAAAATGTGTCAAAATGGACAGTGAAATAGAGAAAAAATTTACCGATCCAAGATTAGGCATGAAATTTTCGTCGGCTCCATCGCCTTGCTCGAAAACGTCTATCATGCGGTGCTCGAGTTCAGCCAGCCGAAAGGCGTCTGCGTTAGATAGCCCTTGGGACTCCTGATGGCTCTCGTGGTCAATGTAGCCCCAGAAAAGGGTTGGGCTCACCACTTGACCCACCTGCACCTTCCACGAACCTTGCGAAGGCACCACGCGCCCCAGCATATTTGCGTCAGAAAATGATTTGTCCTGAAAAAAGAAGTTGCAAATTGGATAATGTCGCGAAGAGTGTGTATTAATGCATGCTCATTTCATTAAATAAAAGTTTTCAAAGATTTTTGAGTCGAGTGTCGATTAAATCAGAAACTATACTCGCTTATAGCAATCCGCAAGAGCATTAATTTAGGAAAAATTGCAAAAGAATAAGATTTTATACATACGCACGCACAAGAGGAGCCAAATTGTGTCGTCACTCGTCGGCGGCGTCCTCCAAAATCTGCTCACTGCTGTGCAAATGCGAAGGAAACATGCGCCGTGAATGTTACAATATCAGACAGCGAGCGCGTCAAGAGAAAATTTGACGCCGAGAAACCTACAATCCCTACGAGAAACAAGAACTAACTTGCTACACTCGAGCGCAAAAGAGAAGAAGAGAGGTGGCGTGGACTGGCTATAATGTGAGCCTGTGATGAGGAGAAAGAAAAAGTGGAAGGAAATAGTATTGAAAGAAACAGTAAGGAGAGTAAAATAGTTAGGAGGGGCGAAGGGGCGGGACTATCTGGGTGACCTTGGGCCCAGTCCTATCTTTTAACATTGAGCTGGGCCATAAGCCACCTCCTCTTCGCCTCTCCTATCCTATTTTACTCTCCTTAAGAAACAGCGCAATAGTAAGTCAGCAACAAGAAGTGGTCAGCATTTCTGTAAATCATGCTGCAGCTTGCATAAACATGTTCGCAGTTAATGGAAGATGGAGGGCTTTGAAGGAAGAAGCAAGCTAAAGGAGAAAACACTCGAGAGGAAAAAATAGTTTAAATAAGAAACAGGAGAAATAAAAATATTAAATATAGAATTTTACACAAAATTGAAACAAACTACTTGCAAAAATATGCCTATAATAACAATTATAACGTATTTTGTTTGTTGTACATTTTTACAATAATGACATAATGATGAACTTGAATTATTTTATGAGTGGCTATTAAAAGGAGGACGTGAGCAGACGTGAGGAACAATTGTGTGACATTATGGCTGATGGCAATTCTGAATTCAGATATTTAAATTCACATAATAAGACACATAGAAAAATGAAATTTCTTGATTAATGTGTTATGTAGTATTAAGGAATGGATTATGGATTTGAAAGTGGATAAATAAATTGTGAGGAAAATAAAATAGCAAGGACATTTAAATAGCCATGACCAAAAGCCAAAGTATAAATCATATAAATATTTCATATATATTATTTTAAAAGCACTGCTAAGGCTATAATACGCAAGATTGTAGCGGGCCAGGCATGGCATTATTATGGCAATATAGAATTATTCCATTTATTTTATAACTACTTACTATATTTTATAATGAAGCATATATTTTTGTCTTGTTTTTTCCAGCTTCTTCAGCGGAAGTACATAAATATCCAAATTTTTTAATATCAATTTCTTTAAGTTCAAAGAGCTTTATAATTTTTATTTTAAAATTTTTAATTTACTTTAAAAAAACAATTCATTTTATAAGATTTCAAAATGATTATGACGATTATGATTTTGGAACTGATAAATAAATGCAAATTTTTTCATTATATTGCTCATCATAATATTCATAATGAAATTAATCATTTCCAGACTTAATTCCAATAATTAAAATCGCGCAGTTTACAATTATACAGAAATAAGATTATCATTCAGTTTTATTATCTCATCTTTCCATTTTTTTAATTAAATATTTAATTAAAAAAATAAATGAAATAATTATTTTGTAATGTCGTAGTCGCGTAAGAAAAATAGAAATAGATCGATATAATGACCCACTGCCATTGGCGGCATTGACTCTTGCAAGCAATTTTGGTTTTTTGGTTTTTGGCTCCGCGGCTGCAAATTGCTTGCACCGGGAGAGGAGAGAGATGAAAAAATGAAAGCCACCAGATACCAGACTTTTCGCGCTTCTTTTGGCCACCGCTTTTGCGACGTTGTGACTTCTACATGTCAGGCGTCACGTGAACGAGAGACAAAAACCATGTGATTGTGTTGTTTACAAACAGCGGCTGAGCTGAGCTATCGGGTTCAATTTCAAATTCATTTCATCGCGGTTCTATCTGTCCTGTGTTCTCCTGTTCTGTTATTTTGGTTTACAATACTCAAGATTGTTATATTTTGTATTCGCAATACATAACTTAATCTCCCAATTCCTCTCAATTGCCTCAAACTATGACTTTTGCACTCCGCGCCTTTTGGGTTGTCAGCCCAAATGAAGAGACACCTGTATTTGACAGGTTATTTTTCAAATTCCATACTTTTAAACTTTTCATGTGATACATTTTTTTTATTGCAGAATTTTCTCTACTGTCGAGTTGCGAGCAGCACAGACTGAGCGTTACCAAAAACTCTTTGAACCCAGAGAATTTGTAAAAGCTGTTCTTATTGAGACAGGAATTCAAGAATCTGGTAAGTAAACAAAACATTAATTTAATTATTTTTAAAATAATGAAACTAAAATTTACTATATACTTAGAGGTTTTTGTGCAGAGCCGAGACAGTTGCGACAAAAAATGCACTGTTCCTGCTTTCAAAATTTCCTCCACTGGCCAAATATTGGAGCCTGTCGTCATCCTGCAGCATCGGGGGCTGCTTTTGTGCGCTCTTCCTCTGGCAGAGGACCATGAGAGGTTAATAAAAACAGTTAAAAATGTTTTGAAAATATTTTTTAAATTTGTATTCTATTGGATTTTATTTATAGTTCTGTTTTGGAAGTGGCGCAAACTTTGGACTGCTTGCATTTGATAGCCGAAAGACTTTCTGGAGATCTAAGTCAGGTGAAGAAAAAATTATATGAGAATAAACTTCAGACCTATTTTAAATTGATAATGAAAATGTGTAAATTGCAGAGAAACGATCTAAGAATTCAGCTGGCTAAGCTGATGGCTGTCAACTTTCCTTTTGGAAGACCACAGACAGAAAGTGCTGTGCTGACTGAGAGGGTCATTGCGTCCACTTTGAAGGATATGCAACAAGACAAAACAAAAGTTGCTATTTGGAATCCCGCTCCTAGCTCGAAAAATAAAAACAATTTTGTAGTTCACATTACAGAGCAAATACATTCCATTAAGGTCTTAAATTGATTCATTCCTTCCCTTTTTGTGTTTAAAATTTTGGTTAAAGAGGGACGAGGTCATAGCAACAGGGGTGATCCATGTGACGACCAACGAAATCTCGGAGATGCAGCCAGAAGTCACCATGACTATTTTGCACCCAAATCCACTCGACATCATTTCCTTGGCACCTCGCGCTAAAATAGAAAACACTTCTGACAGCAGCACAACCATCAAGTTTAATCCGACGGCTGGGGTGAAATTGGAGCTGGCACATTATCAGACCATCTGTTTTGCTCCGGTAGAATTCATCATATCAGTATGTTGTATTTTTTAGCCTTTAGTTACGTTGATCTCAATAATAAAATCAGGAACAAAAACTGATTGTTCAGCCCTCTCGAGCAACTTTGCAGAGGCTGGAGCTCAGGATTCCACTCGAAGGCAGAAAGTTTCAAATTTCCTTGGGGACTGCTTTTGAAGAGGATGGCGGTTGGCTCAAGTGGGACATCCCAGTTGCGAAAATAAAATCAAAAAGCGCAGAGATTGAGATTTATGCTGGTTTGCTTGGGGCAAGAATGATCAAGGCGGAGGTATAAGAATTTTACAAATTTATTTTCCCTATATAGTTTTTTTAGGTCTTTTTTAAATTGAGTTCTGATTTATGCTGGAGTGGCCTCCGCATAAACCAAGGTGTCATTCTGATTAACGAAAAAGCGGCGAAAATTAAATTCTTAACAGGTAAAAGTCTTTCTTCTGCTGCTAGTAATAATAATAAAATAAATCTTTTCAGTTGCTGAATCCATTTCAGGCAGCTATTTTATTGCATCTGCACAATAAAATAAAGACAAGGATGGATGTAATCTCTGATTGTGTGATTGCAATCAGTGTCGGAGGTCGGAGAGTGATTGTGAAAAAAATTTGCAATTAAAATTTGTTGTCAAAGTAACTTTTTTCATAGGCAAAATCATACTTGTCGTTTGGAAGAACTTTTTGAATTTTAATTTACAATATAAAATTGTATAAAATAATAATTTTAATCAATCTACTCTTTATGGTTGAAATTTGTGTATGGTATATTAATTTTATCTCTCTTTTCACGTTTATTTTTGTACAAAATAAATGTGCGGGCCAGGTTGGCCAACACAAAGGGAGAATAATAATTAAATTAAACTCCAGAAGATTCTTTTAATTCGTATATTGTAGTAAGGCGGTGTTGTACATTCAGGATGTGTTGGTATTAGAATCGGAAGTTGAAATTCGAATTGAACTGTAAAAACATAATACAATCAGTACAATGAATTACAAACATGTTATTTGAGTATTGGTAATTTGAGTGGAGGCGCCGGCATTGCTCGGCCGGCGAACAGTTTTAGGTTCGGCGTTTTGGGTTAAATTCACTGGCGGGGCCGGTGATTATGCACTTATTCACTGGGCGGGTCATTTTGCCGTCAAGGGAAATTGCACAGAAAGGTTCTTACCCCATAAGTTTGGGTTCAGGCGAAGGTTTGTTGAGTGAGCGATTGAGACGCGCGCTCCATGGCTGGCTTGGGGCGCGAGAATAAACGTGGTTGGGCGGGGCTCACATTGCATGGGAGTGCTGCAGGGTGCAGCACAGGGTGGTGGAGTGGTTTAGTCTTGACTAAACGATTTGTAGTGGGCAGCGGGAAACCGCTGACCGCTACATAGGCCCCCACTTGGAGACCGGAGGTCACTCTCAGTATGTTTCTCTCGGTGAGGTGTCTCTTGGCGAGAAGGTGTCTCTTGGCGAGAAGGTGTCTCTTGGCGAGAAGTTGTCTCTTGGCGAGAAGGTCACTCTTGTATAGGCTGGAGTGAACGAGGAATTTGAGGCGTTGGACTTTTGCTGAGTCCAAAAACAGGAGAACTTGGAAGCTCTGTATGTTGGTTGATTCCAGCCGGGGGAACTTGGCGTGCTGGAAGGTCGTTGGTCCGATCAGCTCTTTCAGGTGTGTCCGACAGGGTGTGTCCCCAAAGGTGACGAGAAATAGCTATGTCTCGTTTGCGCGGTGGGTTGCAGGTCACATATACTTGCCGTGTCGGTCCGAGTTTGAAGGCTCGTGTCGGCGTCGCTGATGTATGCTCTGATTCAGACGAGAGTTCTGCATAAAACTCGTGTGGAGCAAAATTGTGAGTAGGTGCAGCGACAGTTTGGAAGCGCGGTGCAGTGTTGTCTGACGGCTTCTGAGGAGAGGTTCGATCCTTGGTAAGTGTAGGTTCGAAGGACACTGGAATGATGTAATGCTCGTTTAAGAGGTTTTCAGGACAAATTGATTTTGAAAGGTTTATGCCCTGTGTTTGTGTTGCGTTTATGATATTTACGCTGCTGTCCAAAGATTTGGCCTTGGCGGTGGCCACGGTTGCTTGCATGTGAGGAGGCGTGGCTGCTGACAGCATTGGTGTTGGCGGTGTTGTGACGGCATCATGGCGAAAGCTCGTCGTTCGGCGGTCTGCCGAATGTGTATGTTAGTTCTGTCACTCGATGGCTTGATTTGTTGAAGGCGATTCTGCGTTGAAGCATCGCGTTCGGTATCTTGTTCGGGGTCACCATTTTGTGCGGGCCAGGTTGGCCAACACAAAGGGAGAATAATAATTAAATTAAACTCCAGAAGATTCTTTTAATTCGTATATTGTAGTAAGGCGGTGTTGTACATTCAGGATGTGTTGGTATTAGAATCGGAAGTTGAAATTCGAATTGAACTGTAAAAACATAATACAATCAGTACAATGAATTACAAACATGTTATTTGAGTATTGGTAATTTGAGTGGAGGCGCCGGCATTGCTCGGCCGGCGAACAGTTTTAGGTTCGGCGTTTTGGGTTAAATTCACTGGCGGGGCCGGTGATTATGCACTTATTCACTGGGCGGGTCATTTTGCCGTCAAGGGAAATTGCACAGAAAGGTTCTTACCCCATAAGTTTGGGTTCAGGCGAAGGTTTGTTGAGTGAGCGATTGAGACGCGCGCTCCATGGCTGGCTTGGGGCGCGAGAATAAACGTGGTTGGGCGGGGCTCACATTGCATGGGAGTGCTGCAGGGTGCAGCACAGGGTGGTGGAGTGGTTTAGTCTTGACTAAACGATTTGTAGTGGGCAGCGGGAAACCGCTGACCGCTACATAAATAATTATAAACAAATAAAATTTATTCTTTAATAAGGACTTGTTTCCGTTCACCAACCTGGCCAAGGCAAAATGCTGCATGGCAAATTTTATGGACATTAAAACTGAATTAATTATTTACAATGCTGAATCCAATAATGCACGTACACAAGCGTCGTCAGCGCTGCCTATGCGTAAAGTGTGAACTATTTCAAGGAGGGGAGAGCGCAGGGAATTCAACAAAGGAGAGGCAAAGACAGAAAAGTACCGCCAAAACCTCCCCCACCGGGCCGAACCGAGAACCAAACATCTGATCAAACCAAAGTTGGTGTCCTCCGGTGCTGGTGGCTGGTGCGATCATTAAGCGTCCAACGCGTCCGTCCAACAGTCACACCTTGACCTGGGGCGATCTGACGCTGACGGCGCCGCTTTCTGACCGACCTGGACCTGACGACCCGAGACACGAAGAGCGGCGCGACTTTCACATCTGCACTTCCCGCGCTCTGTGTGAGAATTTGAAGAGGCTTCGCGGCAAGCGTGTACATATGTAAGTGAAACGAGCTTTTTTTGCTTGAAATTTTGAAGTTCCTTTTTTATTCGGGCTTTCTATAACCACGGCAACCGCAGCTTTGCCATCAGCCATCAATATTTCCGATCAACATTTCCTCACTCAACTGTCATTTGCACGCCTTTGTTGTTGTTTCTCGCAAAGGCGTAAGCATGAAGAGATCTAATTATAAATATTTTTTCTCCATGGAAGCAATCAAGATGCTTGCATTTTAGATTATTGCCAGTTACGCCTCCCGCTAATAAAATATTTTATTCTCTCGGTTTTAGTTTAAGAAAAAGCTTGCCAAGATTTACTCTGGAAAACAAAGCCTGGTCCCCTGCGGAATTTACTCGTAGAGCTGCTTTTAAATCGAGGAAGATTTGGATTGGAGGTGGAAATTTTGTGGCAGAAGTGCATCGTTGGCTAGTAATTAAATCAAAAAGTTTTGTAGATTTTTCAATAATGTTTGTTGTAATTTAATTTTTGCAGCTTTCCCAGCATCAAATCACATGCTTGGAACGATTGCGCTCAATGGAGCAATGATTTCCTGCGCTACGAAACGGTCCTTAAACGATCTACCAACTGTTCGTCGGTTGAGTGCCATTTCACCGAACCTGTGCTTGACCTGCCTCCTCATCTTGTGTCCACAGAAGTGGCCCATTTCTCTGGAAAACTGCTACTGCCAGTGAGACACTGTCCAGTAGAAGATGTATGTTTCCTTTAAAATACCACTCAACTTTTGAAATAAAAATATTTTTGCAGTGTGGAGGACAATTGGTGGACCATGTATTGGTCTCCAGACATGTCCTGATTGTGGACCACTGCCTCCCTGGTATGCCCAGGTGTCAGGAAGACCTTCTCAACTTAGAAATCAATGGTTTTATTCCTGAAGAACTGCAAATCACACAGCAAACATACACCCTGTTTGGAGTTGGTACGTCTTTTGCATCACGGAATATATCTTAATAACAATTAAATTTTATACTGTAAATTTATATGGAATTCTGCAGCAATCGTAACATAATTTTTAAATAATAATGTCAATTGACATTGTTTATTTAATTTAAATTATTATTTCATTTAAATCTATATTTCACATCTATATTTAGTTGTCCGGGAGACTGAGGATGTCCATCATATTGTTCCAGACATCAATCATGGCCCTCAACCAGAGATGGCAAGATTTTTGTATGGAGAAACTATTGACGTCAACTTTCCCTGGACTTGTCATTGAAAATGTAGCTGATTCCTCTCCGACCTATTTCTTCCTACATCGTGAAGACGGAATGTGGTGGAAAGTGTGTGGAGAGGCCACTAGACCTCAGAATGAGCGCACTCACTTTGTGCCCACTCCAGACTTTCTGTACCGTGTGCAGTACATCTACTACATTAGAAAAAAACCGATTAATGTCAATGAATAAGGTATTCAATTTAAAGGGTCATTATATATTTGTTTGAACAGGATAGAGAGAGAGGTTTTTAAGCTCACATGTTCTTTCTTAATCTGCTGAAAACGTAGAATTTTGCAGTAGTGCTCTCGAGTTTATTTATGTTCTTTGCCTGCACAAATGTGTAACATAATTTGATTTGTTACTGATAAGCGATAATTTAATTACCATGTAATGTTCCGTATCTGATTTTGAAATTTATTAATTTGCCAGCTCTAAAATATCATAGTTTCAACATAATAGTTCTAATTTTCATGAACTTTTACGTTATTTAACACTTTAAGTAAATGATACAAAATAGTCTCCGAGAAAACAGTCCAAAAGTATGAAGTTTAATATGTGACTGAGGAGAACTGCTGAAAGTGGAAGGAGTCCAACTTAAAACTCTACATATTATGTATATTTGTAACTACCTTGGATCTTCCATCGCCACTGATCTGATTAAATTTCAACCGTACGTCTGCTAACAAAAAAGATGTTGTGCTCTCCGTGTTGATAGTTAAATTTTAAGTTCCTGAAAAGGGTTTATTTTAAACAAGGTATTTGAAATTAATGTAAATATGTGCCAAACTCTCATTTCCATCATATAACTAATGTGACATCTTGGACTCAAGGATCAAGTGTCGATTAACATTTATTATCTGACTTTTAAGTACAGCTTTAGTTTTAAACCCTAGATGAACAATTCCTAATTTTCATTGTGAGTTTTGTTGCTGAAAACTACCATTCCATTTTTAATTTATTTCACATATTGTATGCAATTAATATGTATACCACACCTCCATAAATAAATGATATTGAGTAAAAATAAAAAAGTTTGCTTTTGGGTCAGCTTGGGTGATTTTCTTTTTAGTGTATTAGTTCTATAGCTCTTTAATCTATACTTGAGACACTCGTAATGTTCAAGATTCCGAACTAAGACACTGTCTGAAGTTTTTGCGGGCTTATTAATAATGATTCATTTAAAGTTAAGCATAATAACGTATTTGTCCAGCTATTACTTTTGCTGGAGATATGGATATAATGGATTATTAAAAAAATCAAAGTTAATCTGAAATGTCTTACATTTCATTAGAATATATAATGCTATCAACAAAACACCACCAAAAGATAATAATTATATTATTCATCGAGTTCCACAAGTAATCTGAACTAATTAAAAACTTCTTAACCAAGGTTCGCGCATCAGAACAATTATAAATTTTTTCGATTGTTGTTTGAGCTCTCTGATTGGGTGCAAGTAAAATTGCACCCAATCAGAGCGCTCGGCAACAATCAAAATTTTCTAATACGCGAACCTTGTACTTGACTCATTTAAAAGGAAAAATAATGAACTTTTTATGCAAAAAGTTTTTGAATGGCTTTAAAACAAACAGTTATCAAATCAACTATTAAGGAAAGAATTTGGGAAATCGAAAATAAAATATTGCTTTTACGAAGTTTATTTTACGTACAAAATGGAATCAACACAGTCCACCACTCACTCCGCAATTTTATTACCTGAATCTTGATTACATTTCTGTTTTTAACAAAATCATGGAAATCTGAGAGTCAGTTCCCAAAAAAAAAAAAGAAGTTAAAACAATATCCCTTTTAATAATTAAAAAAAAAATGATTGTGTGTATATACATACAGAATTATATGTTGAATTTTCAAAGTGGCACAGCACCACTTTACGTCCTACAAACAGCGAAAGAAGTCTGGAAGGATGCAGGGTAAGGGGCATCATTCAAAGTTCTTCCAGGGCTGGGATGAGGGCAACCTTTCGAAAAACGCGATGAGAATACTTGGCATGCACCGTTTTCATGTGATCTTTTGGCAGGCCCTTAATCCAAGTATTCAAACGGGCAGACAGATCGCGGAAGTCATCCAACTTGTAGCCTTAGAACCAATTATAAAAAAAGATAAGTTTAGTTTAAAAATTCTAGTGCCATTTGTATTAAAACTTTAATATAAATTAATTTCACCTGAGTAATGCTGCAAGGGCTTGGTCCAAAGAGCAGCTTGGGCAGCCTTGTCATAAGGGGCTTGGACCATGCAGGTGGCTAACCAGAGGGCGGCAGCTGCGATCATAGAGTCTGATTCGCTGGAGAATTGAGAGTCCATCAGTGAGGCTTCCAGGATATAGCGGGCCAAAGTCAGCAAGTCCATGTCCAAGGAGCAGGCCTGTTTCAAGAAAATGTCCCATTGCTATTCAACTGAAGTGTGAAATTTAAAACATACTCGGCTGTAACGTCTCAGGAAGCGGTAGCTGAGAGGGGCGCCGAGGTTGAAATTAAGGGCGCAGAACAGCTGTTGCTGCATTTTGCTCAGCTCGGACGCTGAAAAGTCGTTGTCGCACATCTGCAGCCAGTCCGATGTTGGTGGCGGAAGTCGCTCCTATTTTTCATCAAATAGAAAGAATAAAATATTATTTAATTAACAAAAATTTTGGGCTGTAAATAGTTTAAATGTATTATAGAACAGAAATATGTGAAAAATGAATGATTAACTTTAATTCGCTAATTTAAATTACTTCCAAACTTTAATGACGAACAAAAAGTCCAGAATAAATCAACTTACATCATACTGGGCTGCCAGAAGCAGGGAGGCACATGCAATTAGGCGCAGACGGTTTCTTTTAATTGGCAGACTAGGCGTAGGGTGCTGCTTGCTCGGAGGCTTTGGGTTGGACAGATAAAGGTCCATGTTCTTCACAGCCAGGTACAGTGTTTCATGGTTCAGTTCGAGTGTCTCCTGCACTTCGACCATCCAATCAACCACCAAAGCCCTGATATCGTTGCTTATTTCCCTGTGCTGGTCCAGGAAGTTCGGCTTAACTTTATAGAAATCCTGGAAGATGAAATTCATAACTAATTCAAAATTATCACAGATATTAGTTTTTGCATACCTCTCGAGACTTAAGGTAGGAAAAAATATAAGGTGCGTAGTCCGGCACAGAATAAGTGTCTTTGGACGTCTCCTGGTCGTAGTCGAGGACTCCCAGTGGAGGAGTTCCGGGTGTTGGAATGTGGGGCACCAAGGACCGGTCATTTTCAGAGGCTGAGAGGAAAAGTTCCGACTCCTTGATGGACACAGGTGGGGCCGAGCTAGCTCTCGTGGGAACTTTTACTTGGACAGCCTCGATTTCAGGTTGCGACTGAACCTTAATTTCACTGCAAATAATTAAAAAGAGAGGTCTCTATAAATGAATTATTTATAAATTTTTAAAATCTTACAGATCGTCAAGTGCAGACATGTACAGCGTTCCATTTTGGACATCTTCGTACACTGTACCTTCCTCCGTGATGGTTGGAGGCTGTTGCTTCACTACCGCAACCTTCAGTGACTTGTACTTGGCCAGGGTTGACCTTTTGTCCTTGCCATCTGCAGTTTTCTTACTTCCTCCAGGAATGTGAAGGCGTTGAATTGCCTAAAAATTAATAATGATATTTTATGGTGATTCCAATAATTCATGATACTTTTAAGAAAAAGGAATTTTTTTTTTAAAAAATTTGAAATAATAACTGTACGTACGTTGGTGACGTCTGAAAATGCAGATCTTTTCAAGACCGGTCCGTGCGGCAACTGTGAGGGCGAAAACGCCGACTTCCGCTTGCTAATCCTGAGGGCAACTTCGTCTCGGCCAGGGTGATCCATGGCCCGCAGGTTGTACTTCTTATCGGTGGAAGGCTGCATATTTTCGCTGTCGAAAAGTCCCGGCAAGTGGGCCGACGTGGAGTTGCGAGACGAAATCTTCAGTGGAGGGTTGAGCGGCGCTTCGCCGACTCGTCTTCGGCCGAAAGGCAACATTTTTCGTCCGAAATCTAGATCTTTCCCTGCTGCAACTCGAATCACTAAAATTCTCACAACAATGCAACCGCTCTACTTCTAATTTCAACAGTAACCCGCACGGTAAACAGTCAAAACAATAAATGGTGGATCAGTGTCTTGTCCATTTAAAAGTTAAATTTCCCAAAACATGTTCAGACTTGTCGCGGCAACTGCTAAAAGTGACGGTTTTCTCCCACCATTCGCTCGATTCGCTCTCTCTGAGTGCTGCTATTGGCTAGCGTAGGTTCATAAAAAACATAAAGCCAATGAAAGAGCTCCAAACAAAATCCGTTGAGTGCAATGTATAATTTTTATTCAAACTTCCCGCTGAACATCATTTTTGGCCATCTGTTGTCGTAACTCAAAATTACTTACAAAGTGTAAAAAGAGGTAAAAAGTAAATTTTCCACTAGATGTCAGTACTTCTTAGTTTCTAGTTTGTAAATTTTTGTTTAATGTAGTAAAATTACGGAAATTAAACAAATACACACACGCAAGCATGAGACATCATAATCAGTAAAATCACCTATATTTTTTACTATTATACGGCTATAAAGAATAAAAAACGTATATTAATTTAATATTTTGCACTAAGCCTCCAGCGTTTTTTGCAGTACTAGAGCTTTTTACTTTATTTAGTGGTGATGAAATTTGTTTATGGATTTGACGATTTTATTAATTATTATAATGAAATATATAATAAAGAATAAGCAATAAAATATAGCTGGTTTAAAATATGAGTGTGTAAATGAGTACAATTTTGGCTTGTGGAAAAATTGTTGCCCCATACAGAAACGTACAGAAATAATCCAGAACTAACTAAGGACGCAATATACTAAGGGATTTTATTTATTTACAAGTTGTAACCATTTGTTTTAAAACAAAGCTTTGTGAGCAGTGACTACAATAAATTGTAAAAACTGATTGGGATTATTTTTGCAGAGAAAAGAAATATATTTTATACAATTCTAAATGATTGAATAATAAATAAATTTTGCTATTGGATCATATAAAAGTAATAAAAGTTTGAGAACTTGCATGGAAATAATAATCTTTCTTATCTTCTGCTTGCTTTAAAAAGATATTAAATAATTCCTAAAAGTGAAAGATGAAAATAAAATTATTTCTGGCAATTGGCAGGTGAGATTATAAGAAGTGCGCTGCTTTTTACTGCCTTTGTACGGCGGCTGTGCGCCTATAGAGTAGGATGCAAAGCACGCGTAATAAGCTGAAGAGAGCAGAGTGGGATTTTGGGTTTTAGAATCGTGGCAGGACCCATGGACCGACCGGTCGCCAGCTGCCGTTTATCATTATTTATGTGAGGCGGCACGGCCTCCCCTGCCGCCTACATCTGCCGCCGCCTTTGAGGAACGTGCAAGAAGTGATGCTGGCTGGCGCAGGTAGTGCATAATATATCTTTTGATAAAAGAGCCCGAGCAGCTGCCCATTGTTCGCCAACAGAATACTGCCGCCGGCAGAAGCGAGACGTGTGTGCCTTACGCGCATTGGTATAAAATTAAAAGGTACACCCTGTTGAATTCTGATTTACCTGCCTGCCTGCTTTTGTAATTTGTACACAAAGAGGCAGATGTGAAATTTCATCAGTAATCCTAATGGATCGCGTGTCCTCCCGTTCATTTTAATTCAAAAGTGAGTAGCATAAAGTATTCTAGTGGGACCAGAAACAAAATTTTATGTACTCAATATAATGCACAATGTTAAAGATTTTTTTTTCCAAATTTTAAATCAATTAATTTGAATGATAGATATAATATAAATTAAAAGCTTACTTTTTATTTTGTTGCTAGCAGGATTTTTTTTAAATTTCTTGTTTTGTCTAGATAGTTTTTTTTTTAATAAAATAATCAATTCTTGAACACATTGAAATTTGATCAATACAAAAAGATTGGAAAATTTGCTAAAACTAAATTCAAAACAATTAATATAATACTGAGCTATCTATTTATATAAATATTATTAACCATTTGTGTTTTTGGAAAAATAACTCAAATCTGGAGATAAAATTATGGCAGAAATTTCAAATCTTTATGTCTCATTCCCTTCAAAATTGTGTTCAGTCATTTTTGAGGAAATATAACATTAATAGATCATTGTTTTTTATTTATCTGGCGCTCCGCTCCACCCATTAATTAGGGTCGACTCGCAGGCTTGCAGGAATGTGCCGAAGTATGCTAATAAAATAATAATTGGATCTGCACAGGCCGGAGTTCAATAGTCGCACGCAGAATGTTGTTTGCGTCGGGCTAGTGCGGTGCAGCTGGCGCTGAGGAATTGAGGTTTGCCGAATACAAGGCGGGCGGTCCAGCGCGCGACGGCACCAGAAGGGACTCGCGGAGGAGAGGAGAAGAGCAGGTGCAAATTTCCAGCCTCCGCCCCTGACGCTCTCTATCTGCTAGGCGCTCCTTTCCAAAAAAGCAGGCAGGTGTCCCTTGCTTGCCCTGGCTTGCCCCAACTGCTCACTTCGTCCAAAGCACTATATTCCCCATAAAAAATCTGTTGAGGATTAAGCAAGTGGAAATCGAGGCCGTCACTTGTGGCGTCCGAGGAGGAAATTAATAATTTTTAGTGACAGCAGGCAATATATATTTGCTTATTTTTTTAGCGAATACATTCCTTAAAAGCAAATGCTAATTAAAATGGCAACAAATAACGATTGAATAAAAAATCTGATAAATTATCGCTTCCTCATTGAATTCCTTTGTAGGCTTATTGAATAGTGTTTAAATTTAAATTTTGGCCACCGTATTTTTCCATTATTAAGGTCTAGTTTATTTGACCTCTTTCCAAAGTTAATTTAAAGACCTTGGAACAGGGCTTGCTTGCATAATGGTTAAATTTAAAAATTGGCCACTGTATTTACCCATTATTAAGGTCTTGTTTATATGACCTCTTTTCAAGTTATTTTAAAGACCTTAGAACAGGTTGTTAGTAATAAGTGGTTTAATTTGAAAATTGGGCACCGTATTTTTCCATTATTAAGGTCTGGTATACATGACCTCTTTCCAAAGTTAATTTGAAGTCCTTGGAAAAGGCAGAACAGGGTTTCCTTGCATATAGTGGTTAAATTTAAAAATTGGCCACCGTATTTTTCCATTATTAAGGTCTTGTTTATATGACCTCTTTCCAAAGTTAATTAAATGACCGTGGTTCAGAGTTTCCTCTAACAGTGGTTAAATTTAAAAGTTGGCCACCGTATATTTCCATTATTAAAAGGTCTTGTTTATATGACCTCTTTCGAATGTTAATTTAAACACCATAGAACATGGTTTCCTTGCATAGTTATTCACACACTTCAAACTAATCTTGTTTTTTAAAAAAAGTAATTAAGACCTGAGGATTAATTATCATAATGCGTCTGGCGCTCCATAGTCGAAAAATTCAAAAATATACACACACTTCAAACTAATCTTGTTTTTTAAAAAAAGTAATTAAGAACTGAGGATTAATTATCATTAAGCGTCTGGCGCTCCATAGTCGTCAAATTCAAAAATATACACACACTTCAAACTAATCTTGTTTTTTAAAAATAGAAATTAAGACCTGAGGATTAATTATCATTAAGCGTCTGGCGCTCCATAGTCGTCAAATTCAAAAATATACACACACTTCAAACTAATCTTGTTTTTTAAAAATAGAAATTAAGACCTGAGGATTAATTATCATTAAGCGTCTGGCGCTCCATAGTCGTCAAATTCAAAAATATACACACACTTCAAACTAATCTTGTTTTTTAAAAATAGAAATTAAGACCTGAGGATTAATTATCATTAAGCGTCTGGCGCTCCATAGTCGTCAAATTCAAAAATATACACACACTTCAAACTAATCTTGTTTTTTAAAAATAGAAATTAAGACCTGCGGATTAATTATCATTAAGCGTCTGGCGCTCCATAGTCGTCAAATTCAAAAAAATACACACACTTCAAACTAATCTTGTTTTTTAAAAATAGAAATTAAGACCTGAGGATTAATTATCATTAAGCGTCTGGCGCTCCATAGTCGTCAAATTCAAAAATATACACACACTTCAAACTAATCTTGTTTTTAAAAATAGAAATTTAGACCTGAGGATTAATTATCATTAAGCGTCTGGCGCTCCGTAGTCATCAAATTAAAAAATATACACACACTTCAAACTAATCTTGTTTTTTAAAATAGAAATTAAGACCTGAGGATTAATTATCAGAATGCGTCTGGCGCTCCGTAGTCGTCAAATTCAAATATATACACACACTTCAAACTAATCTTGTTTTTTAAAATAGAAATTAAGACCTGAGGATTAATTATCATAATGCGTCTGGCGCTCCATAGTCGTCAAATTCAAATATATACACACACTTCAAACTAATCTTGTTTTTTAAAATAGAAATTAAGACCTGAGGATTAATTATCATTAAGCGTCTGGCGCTCCATAGTCGTCAAATTCAAAAATATACACACACTTCAAACTAATCTTGTTTTTTAAAAAAAGTAATTAAGAACTGAGGATTAATTATCATTAAGCGTCTGGCGCTCCATAGTCGTAAATTTCAAATATATACACACACTTCAAACTAATCTTGTTTTTTAAAAAAAGTAATTAAGAACTGAGGATTAATTATCATTAAGCGTCTGGCGCTCCATAGTCGTCAAATTCAAAAATATACACACACTTCAAACTAATCTTGTTTTTTAAAAATAGAAATTAAGACCTGAGGAATATTTATCATTAAGCGTCTGGCGCTCCGTAGTCGTCAAATTAAAAAATATACACACACTTCAAACTAATCTTGTTTTTAAAAAATAGAAATTAAGACCTGAGGATTAATTATTATTAAGCGTCTGGCGCTCCATAGTCGTCAAATTCAAAAATATACACACACTTCAAACTAATCTTGTTTTTTAAAAATAGAAATTAAGACCTGAGGATTAATTATCATTAAGCGTCTGGCGCTCCATAGTCGTCAAATTCAAAAATATACACACACTTCAAACTAATCTTGTTTTTTAAAAATAGAAATTAAGACCTGAGGATTAATTATCATTAAGCATCTGGCGCTCCATAGTCGTCAAATTCAAAAATATACACACACTTCAAACTAATCTTGTTTTTTAAAAATAGAAATTAAGACCTGCGGATTAATTATCATTAAGCGTCTGGCGCTCCATAGTCGTCAAATTCAAAAATATACACACACTCCAAACTAATCTTGTTTTTTAAAAATAGAAATTAAGACCTGCGGATTAATTATCATTAAGCGTCTGGCGCTCCATAGTCGTCAAATTCAAAAATATACACACACTTCAAACTAATCTTGTTTTTTAAAAATAG